CACCTTCATTTCCGCCAGGCAGTTGGTCCAGGGTGTGCTGAGGGCTCTGGGCCCTCAGCTGTCCCCGTCACATCCCTGGCACCACGAGACGGATGTGCAGGCACTGGAGGCAATGGCCTGACCGCGAAGGCCTCCTCACAGCTCAGCACAGTGGGAAGGGAGGGTGCACCTGGGGGGCGGCAGGAGGCCCAGCCTTTTCTAGTGCTGTGCCCTCCGTGCGTGTGCTCAGGAGTTCACACTGCCAAGTGGGCAGGTCTGTGCCTGCCGGCTAACAGGATTCCCAGGCGCTGCTTGATTCAAAAGTATCAGGAAAATGGGTAGACCAAGGTCCTTCTGACCCGGGAGCGAGCCTGGTGAATGCACCATGAAGAGTCTCACCTCTGAAGTCTGATTATGATGGGAGCATTACCAGACGCATCCCGAATTCCTACAAAAGCAAAGAGGACTGCACAAAAACAGTGGAGGTCAGCAGAGAGGAGGGAGAACAGTGAACTCATTGTAAGAGAGTTCCGAACATGACAGTGGACACATCCTACTTACCTGGTGGAAGGCCAGGAACAAGACCCACGGGGGATGCCGGCACTGTGCCATAGCAGGTAAAGCCACTGCCTGCAGTGCCAGCATCCCATATGGGCACCAGTTCAAGTCCCGGCTGCTCCATTTCTGATCCAGCTCTCGGCTATGGCCTGGGATGGCAGTGGAGGATGGCCCAAGGCCTTGGGTCCCTGCACCCGCGTGGGAGACCCGGGGGAAGCTCCTGGCTTCAGATCAGCGCAGCTCTGGCCATTGTGGCCAACTGGGGAGTAAACCAGCGGATAGAAAACCTTTCTGTCTCTGCCTCTCCTTCTCTCTGTGGAACTCTTTCAAATAAATCAATCTTTTAAAAAAAAAAAAAAAATGGGGGCCCGAGCCATCTCAGCTCAGAGCCTAGACCCAGACTGGGCTTTCTTGTGAAAGGTATATATACTCTATAATGCTTCTAAGCCCGCAGGGTGTTTTCTTAGAATATAATAAAATAAAGTCAGTAGTTTAGCATAGTGGTTAACACACCACTTGGGGCTGGCGCCGTGGCTCACTAGGCTAATCCTCCGCCTGGGGTGCCGGCACCCCAGGTTCTAGTCCCGGTTGGGGCGCCGGGTACTAGTCCTGGTTGCTTCTCTTCCAGTCCAGCTCTCTGCTGTGGCCCAGGAGGGCAGTGGAGGATGGCCCAGTTGCTTGGGCCCTGCACCCACATGGGAGACCAGGAGGAAGCACCTGGCTCCTGGCTTCGGATTGGCACAGCACACCAGCCGCAATGCACCAGTCATAGCGACCACTTAAGGGGTGAACCAATGAAAAAGGAAGACCTTTCTGTCTCTCTAACTCTGCCTGTAAAAAAAAAAAAAAAAAAGACACCACTTGGGCACGCACAACCCACACTGGAATATGTGACCTCGAGTCCTGGCCCCGCTCCCGACCTCAGCTTTCTGCTCATGTGCACCCCGGGAGGGAACACGGGATGGCTCAAGTCACTGAATCACCCAAGTGGGAGAAATGGACTGAGCGCCCCGTTCCTGGCTTCGGCCTGGCCACTCTGGCTGTTTCAGGGATTTGGGGAATAAAACCGCAAGTGGGAGATCTCTGTCTCCCCTCTCTCTGCCTTTCAAATAGATTATTATTTTTTAAAAAGATTTATTTATTTGAATGGCAGAGTTAGAGAGAGGCACAGGCGCAGAGAGGGGTCTTCCATCTGATGGTTCACTCCCCAAATGGCTGCACTGCGAGAGCTGAGCTGATCTGAAGCCAGGAGCTTCTTTCAGGCCTCCCACGTGGGTGCAGGGGCCCAAGCATTTCGGTCATCTTCCACTGCTTTCCCAACCATAGCAGAGAGCTGGATCCGAAGTGGAGCAGCCAGGACTTGAATGGACACCCGTGTGGGATGCCGGCACTGCGGGTGGCAGCTTTACCCACTACAGCACAGTGCGAGCCCCTCAAATAGATTATTTTTAAGAGGAAATTATTAAAAATCTCAATAAAAGAATCACTGAGTTATTCTACAATTTCAAGCTTCTAGCGAGCAAAGTCAGTAAGCGGATGACATCGAACAGGCCAAAGACACGGTGCCCCATCAGGAGGCTTCTAAACATGGGACCCGCTTGACCTCCCAGTCTACAAAACCATTAGACCAAGGGCCGGGGCACACAGGGCACCTCACCTTGCGTCCTGCAGACACGGGGAGAGCGCAATCATGATGGAGCAGTCCTTGGCGGTCATGGCGACTCGGTACTGCTGCACCTGTGGGGGAGGCAGAAGTCAACTGCAGGGCACGTGCAGTCGTGTCAGCACCAAATGCAGCCTCCCCGCCGAGTGGGCACAAGGTATGGGAGCCATTCCCCCGACAGGGCCTGACGGTGAGGCGGGAACGCAGGGGCACTGGGCGCGCCCCCGTGTGACAGTCCCATGCTATTTATTTCACCAAGAAGTCAGTCATTCTGTATAATATACAGCAAATTCAGTCACAAGATAATTAAAGCATTCAGTATAAAAGAGAAGTCTAAGCGATTCATTACGTCCTCAGTGCACTGCAAACCTTTCTAACCTAAACGGAGCAGGCACGGTGGCACAGAAGGTTATGCTGCTGCTCATGATGCCTGCGTCACAAGTTCCAGCCCCAGCTGCTCTACTTCTGATCCAGCTTCCTGCTAATGCGTCCTGGGAGGCAATGAATGAGGCCCTGCCAACCACATGGGAATCCTGCATGGAGTTCCAGGCCCCTGACCCAAGACAGGCGGTTGGGGCATCTGGGGAGGGACCAGCAGACGGAAGCTCTCTCTAGCTCTCCTTCTGCCACTCTGCCTTTCGAGTACAATAAACACACACACACACACACACAAAAGCCAAAAGCTATAGAAGATTCAGCTTTGAATTTTTTAATTCAACAGCTTTTATATGATGTAGATATAATTTAAAGGCAAAACACAAGTGAAACACCAAAAGCAAGCATCTGCAACATGTAACTCAGTAACATCAGGAATACAGCAAGTGCTAGAGATCAATAAGGAAAAAGAAAACAACCCAGAAAGGAAGTGGGTGGGAAGGGGAACTACTGGGGGTGGGGGGAGTGGAAGGGGGGCTGTGGCATAGCAGGTTAAGCCACCACTGGGACCCCCCACATCCCATGGCAGAGTGCCAATTTGAGTTCTGGCTGCTCTACTTCCGATCCAGCTTCCTGCTAATGCACCTAGGAAGGCAGCTGGTGATGACCTAAGTCTTTGGGTCCCTGCCACCCACAAGGGCTCCTGGCTTCAGCCTGGCCCAACCCTGGCTGTTGCAGGCATTTCAGCATTTGGGGAATGAACTAGCAGATGGAAACTTCTCTCTTTGCCAACTGTCCCTCTCTCCGTCATGCTCTGCCTTTCAAATCTTTAAAAAACAAAACAGTTGGGACAGCTACATCTCAGAGTGCTTGGATTCAAGTCTGAGCCCCACTCCTGATTCCCGGTTCTGCCAGTGTAGACCCTGGAAGGCAGCATGTAATGTCTCATGTAACTGAGTTCTTTCAACCCACATAGGAAACCTTGATTGATTTCCCTGTTGGCTTTGACCTGGCCCAGTGCATCTGGGCACTTGGGGGAGTGACCCAGCAAATGGAAGATAGTTCTCTTTTTACTTTTCAAATAAATAAAGTTTATCCAGTGAACATATTCATTCTCTCTCTCAACACACACACGATCTTATAAATCAAGGAATGCAACTGTTGACGTATGTTCCACTCATCAGATGGGCCCATCTACGTGTGCAGAGCGTAAGGTGAAGGGGCGAGACGTGCACTGAGCAAAGCTGGGCTGTAACTCAGGCCGACTGAACTGCAGAGGCCAAGAAACAGTGCTGCACAGAACATCCAAGATCTGCCTGATGGCGAGCAAATGGGACAGAAGTTGCTGGAATGGGAGAGGACAAGCTTTTCCAAGGGAGGGGCATGGCAATTCCAGAGGGTCAGATGTCAAGGCTACAGGGACAGTTTCCATGATGAGCCCACTCTTTGGTTTAGTACCCAAAGTGCTGCACCTTCGAGATTAAAAGTGAACCAAGGTCGCCGGGCCCTACTGGGAACCGCAGCTTTTCTCTGTTGATGAGGTCAGTCATGAACACTGGATGAAATTGGCTCCAGCTTGCTAGTACTCCCCAGGCCTCTGGCAGAAGCAGAATTCTCCTTGGAAGACTATACAATCCTATCCCCAGGTTACTTTTAAAATTATTGTGCAAATATAATTTCTGGCACACAAGCAAAGATATGCAGACATAAGAAGACATTACAGCACAAATGATAATCAGCAAAATTTAATAATAAGAACAACAGGGGGAGGGGTGTGTTAAGAATCTCTGTACCTTTAAATAAGTTTTGCCAGCCACCTACAACTGCGCTAAAGTTTTTTTTTTTTTTTTTTTAGTATGTACAATAGAAAGACACACATGGACTACAGCTACTGGAGATACCAAATCCACTCTGCTGTGTTCAAAGGACCAAAGACAAAATGGCACTGCAACGGAGAACTGGAAATTGTAAAAAATGAACCATTTAGGAAGTCTGGAACTAAAAATACAAAAGTCAGCATTAAGAATTCAACGTAGAGCAGACATCTGGCACAGTAGTTAAGACACTGCTTGGACGTCCACATCCCATATCTGAGAGCCTAGACTCATGTCTCAGCTCTGCTTCCAATCCAGTTTCCTGCTAATGCTCACTGGGAGGCAGCACTTGATGGCTCAAGTACCTGGGCCACTGCCATCCATGTGGGAGATTCCAACTGAGTCATGGCTCCTGGCTCCAGCCCGGTCCACCCATGGATGCTGCAGGAATTTGGAGGGTGAACCAGGATGGAAGACAGCCCTCTCACTCTGCTTTCAAATTAAAAAAAATTAAAAATAATTTAACATAGTTTTAATGGATGTTAAAAAGCTGAAGAGAAACTGCAACTTCTGGGTAGATAGTGATTTTTTTTTTTTTTTTTTTTTGCCAGGCGGCAGCTTTATTGGGGAGCCGGGATGACAGAGGACTTAGGAGTTGGCGTTGGGGCCCTTCTTCTGGCCAAAGGTGGGCACCACGTTGACGAAGCACTGGATGTACTGCATCCGCCGCTTGGCGCGGCCCGTCGTCGTCTTCTCCTGCTTGGCCACCTTGGGAGTCTGACCTCTCACTTTGCCGGCGCGGGCCAGGGAGCCGTGGACTTTACCTCCGAGCATGCGCCCGGCCACTTCCAGGGTGCTCAGGGCCTCCACACCGCACTGGCCCAGGGTGGCCTCATCCTCCGGGGCGTCCCCGCTAGGAGCACCACTTGGTCCTCGGGGGCGATGCCCTCCAGCGAGGCTACGTGAGCCTTGATCTGGGTGACCGTCTCCCGGCCGGTCACCTCGAGGGTGTGGCGCTCCTGCGCACAAACAAACAGCTGCATGTTGGCGGCTGAACTGCAGCCCCTACTTGCCACTAGCACAAAGATGGAGTCGAGAAAAAGGAAGAAGCGAGGGCGCGCACGCACTCCCGGCCTGTGGTGTGCTGATGGTGATAATTTTAAGAAATATATCAACAGGCTGACGCCATGGCTCTCTAGGCTAATCCTCTGCCTACGGCGCCAGTACCCCAGGTTCTAGTCCCAGTTGGGGCACTGGTTCTGTCCCGGTTGCTCCTCTTCCAGTCCAGCTCTCTGCTGTGGCCCAGGAAGGCAGTGGAGGATGGCCCCAGTGCTTGGGCCCTGCACCCACATGGGAGACCAGGAAAAGCACCTGGCTCTTGGCTTCGGATCGGCACAGCGCACTGGCCGTGGTGGCCATTTAGGGGGGAACCAACAGAAGGAAAACCTTTCTCTCTGTCTCACTCTGCCTGTCTAAAAAAAAAAAAAAAAAAAAAAAAAAAAAAAGAAATATAGCAACAATGGGGCTGGCATTGTGCCATAGTGGGTAGAAACACCAGCAGTGCCAGCATCCCACATGGGCAACGGAAAATGGCCCAAGTGCTTTGGGCCCTGTGCCCACATGGGAGACCCGAAAGAAGCTCTTGGCACCTGGCTTTGGATCAGCCCAGCTCCAGCCATTATGGCCATTTGGGGAGTGAATCATGAGTTGTAAGATCTCTCTATCTCCCTCTCTCTCTGTAACTCTGCCTTTCAAATAAATAAATATACTTTAGGAAAGAAAAAAAGAAATACAGCAGTGAGTGACAGAAGAGCAACTAGCATTCTCTGAACTGTGCTTCCTCCTGGGCTATCACAGCTGGAGAAAGGGAAGACAGTTCCCTTGGATGTAGCCTCCAAAGGCAGGAACTGGCTAGGCCAGCCTTCGGTGTAGGCTGAGGAGGCAGCTGAAGACTGGTCTGGAGATGTGAAGTCTCTCCCACTGTCTTCCGAGATAACCGTCATCCCACATCAGTCATTCTCCTGAGTTAAAACGCAAAGATGGCTGAAGGTGCACAATGCTGCCCAGTCCACTAGCTGTCTCACTCTCACCAGCCATGAAGACAGGGGGCAGGGAACAAGGCAGAGAGCACGGGGGAAAGAAAGAAAAAGGCTGAAGAGAACTGCCAGCCTGGTGGATCGAAAGAAAATATCCAGAATGAAACATGGAAAGGAAAGCAAGTAGAAAAGAGAGGAAAAAAAAGAGAGAGAGAGAGAAAGAACAAGAACAGGACAGAGGAAAGGATACGAGACACAGAAGTACAGGCAATGGGTCAAACACACATGGAACTGGAGTCCAGAAGAAGAGAGGAAATGGACAGAAACAAAACTTGAAAGTGTCAAGGCCAAAAGCTTCCCTCAACTGAAGACAGACATCAAGCCAAAGATTCAAGAAAGCCTCCAAGCAAATTATTTATATACATCATCACCAGAAACTAAGACCATGTCACCAGCAGACCCACACTAAAGCAAAGATTAAACGTATTCCTCAGACAAAAGCAAAGCCATCACATACGTAAGCTGAGAGATACAGGGCAGTATGAAGGGCAACGCGGGAGGTAAGTATACAGGTGAACGAGTAAGGACCATATGCAATAATGATAATCACGGCATAACAGAACCTGGGATGAGCAGTTATCCAGTGGTGGACACCCAGACCCTGTACCAGAGGCTAACTGTGCTCCCAGCTTCCACCTTCAGCCCAGGCCCAGCTGTTTTGGGCATTTGGGCAGATGGCAGCTATTTGCGTCCCAAAAACACAAACAAAAACAAAACAAAAATTAATAATGGAATATACAGCAATAGAAGCAATTAAGTCAGGGGTAGTAGTTAATGTACTGTAAGAACTTCAAATTGTCAAATAGGAATAGTACCAGGATCTAAAAATAGTACCGCAGTCTAAAAAGGCACCTGCTTATTAGGGCAGCAATAATCATTAGCTAGGATAACCAACAAAAAGTCTGAGGCTCTGTGACTTCCAAGCTGACACCATGGGAGACACAGAATGATAAAAAATGACAAAAAAGACTTTGAGAGTATAGGAGGAAAAAAAAGTATAGAATTAGAAGCCTAAAACAGGTGAGGAAAATTTCAAAGTTTAAACCCAAGTAAAGTCTAATAAAACAACAAAGGCAAAATGACTGAATGGATAAAAGACCAAATCCAACTGCAGGCCCCAATTTAAGTATAAAGACATAGAAAGTTAAAAATGAGAGAAGCCAGCATTATGGTGCAGCTGGTTAAGCTGCCAGCATCCCACGAGTTCTGGTTCAAGTCCCAGCTGCTCCACTTCTGATCCAGCTCCCTGCTAATGTGCCTGGGAAAGCAGCAGAATGTGGCTCAAGTGTTTGGGCCCCTGCACCCACTTGGGAGACCTGGGTGGAGTTCCAGGCTCCTGGCTATTGCCTAGTCCAGCCTTGGCTGTTGTGGCCATTTCAGGAGTGAACCAATGGATAAAAGAGATATTCTCTCTAACTCCTTCAAATAAATTTAAATGATTTTTTTTAAAAAAAAGACTATTTATTGGGGGTCAGCACTGTGGCATAGCGGGTGAAGCCCCCACCAGAAGTGCTGGCATCCCAAATGGGCACCAGTTTGAGTCCCGGCTGTTCCACTTCCAATCCGGCTCTCTGCTGTGGCCTGGGAAAGCAGTCGAAGTGGGCCCAAGTGCTTGGGCCCCTGCACCCTGTGGGAGACCCGGAAGAAGCTTTTGGCTTTGGATTGGGGCAGCTCCGGCCATTGCTGCCATTTGGGAAGTGAACCAGCGGATAGAAGACCTCTCACTCTCTCTCTCTCTCTGCCTCTCTGTAACTCTGCCTTTCAAATAAATAAATAAATAAATCTTTAAAAATGCACACACAATGATAGAAAAGGCAAAACAGAAAGGTTCATGGAAGAATTTAATTAAAAGAAGTTTCAGTGCAAAAAAGTTAAAATTCAGGGGGCTGGCACTGTGGCGTAGCAGGTAAAGCCACCGCCTGCAGTGTCAGCATCCCATATGGGTGCCAGTTCGAGTCCCAGCTGCTCCTCTTCTGATCCAGCTCTCTGCTATGGCCTGGGAACGCAGTAGAAGATGGCCCAAGTCCTTGGGCCTCTGCACCCATGTGAGAGACCAAGAAGAAGCTCCTGGCTCCTGGCTTTGGATCGGCACAGCTCCGGCCATTGCAGCCAATTGGGGAGTGAACCAGTGGAGGAAGACCTCTCTCTCTGTGTAACTCCAACTTTCAAGTAAATAAATCAATTTTTTTTTTGAAGATAAAATTTAAAATTCTTTCATATAACATATTTTAATGAAATTTTTGAAGGCCCTGGTATGCATGAGTTTCAAAAATTTGTGCACCAAAATAAATTTACTTGTACTTTGTGTGAACTTTTTGAAGTACTTCCTAACAAGACAGGGAGAAGAACCCCAAAGAGGCAGAGAGAAGAGACAGATCACTCCCTGAGGAGAGGCAATGAGACGTGTCCCACAGCGGTACCCACAGGCAGATGATGCCTTACAAATTCAATTTAAGCATATCCTGGGGTCGGCACCATGGCTCACTTGTTTAATCCTCCACCTGCGGCACCAGCATCCCACATGGGCGCCAGTTCTAGTCCCGGTTGCTCCTCTTGCAGTCCAGCTCTCTGCTGTGGCCCGGGAGTGCAGAGGAGGATGGCCCAAGTGCTTGGGCCTTGCACCCGCATGGGAGACCAGGAGAAGCACCTGGCTCCTGGCTTCGGATCAGCGCAGCGCGCCGGCCCTAGCAGCCATTCATTCCGTGAAACAACGGAAGGAAGGCCTTTCTCTTTGTCTCACTCTCTCTCTCACTGTCTAACTTTGTCAAATAAAAAAAAATTTAAGCATATCCTGATGCAGAAAGGACTTAATAAAAAACCTCACTAAAGTATTTTCTTTTAAAGATTTATTTATTTGGAAGGCAGAGTTACAGAGAAGCAGAGAGAGAGGTCTTCCATCCACTGGTTCACTCCCCAAATGGCCACAGCAGATGAAACTGGGCCCATCTGAAGCCAGGAGCTTCCTCTGGGTCTCCCACGCAGGTGCAAGGGCACAAGGACTTAGACCATCTTCTGCTTTCCCAGGCCATAGCAGAAAGCTGGATCGGAAGTGGAGAAGGTGGGACTCGAACCAGGTCATTTGGGATGCTGGCACTGAAGGCAGCGGATTTACCCGCTACGCCACTGCTCCTGCCCCAAAATAACTCATTTTCTAAGACTAACTACCAAAACTGACTAAGAATATGTATAGACCTATTTAAGATAAAAAAAAAAATTACACATAAAGCAAAACCAAGATGGCTTTACTACTGAGCTCTATCAAATATTTAAAGAAATATGGGACTAGCGCTGTGGCGCAGTGGATTAATTCTCCACCTGAAGCGCCAGCATCCCTCATGGGTGCCGGTTTGAGTCCCAGCTGCTCCTCTTCCGATCCAGCTCTCTGCTATGGCCTGGGAAAGCAGTGGCAGATGGCCCAAGTGCTCGGGCCCCTGCACCCACATGCAAGACCCGAAGAAAGCTCCTGGCTCCTGGATTTGGATCAGCTCAGCTCTGGCTGTTGTAGCCATTTGGGGAGTGAACCAACGGAAGGAAGACCTTTCTCTCTGTCTCTCTCTCACTGTCTGTAACTCTACCTGTCAAAGAAATAAAATCTTTAAAAAAAAAAAAAAACTCAGTTATTTTCAAACTCTTCCAAAGTAGAAGCTAAAAACTGCCCAACTCACACAATCTCATAAACAAGGATATCACAAGAAAATAAAACTACACACCAATGTCTCCTATGCATACTGATATAAAAGTCCTCAAAAGCAGTTACCATTGGGGATGAATCGGTGGAGGAGATCTCTCTCCAGTCTATTCGTCTGTCTCCTTCCTCTTTTCCCATCCCTCTCTCCATCTCCCTCCCTCCCATCTCCGCCTCTTAAATAAGGAAAACATCTACACACACATATATAGTTGAATTAGCAATATTTTAAGAAGGATCACGCAGAATGACCCAGTGGGATTAAATGAATTTATGTAATATACTGCACTAACAGAATAAAGGACAAAAACGACATGATACTCTCCACTAATACAGAAAAGGCATCAAGAAAATTCAACACATTCTTATGACAAAAAAGTACTCGACAAATCAGGAAGACAAGGGGGCTTCTTCACCTTGACAAAGGATATCTACAACCCTTCTCCCCCAAGTAAACATTACACATGTTGATGAGACACTGGATACCAGGGGGCCGGCACTGTGGCGCAGTGGGTTAAAGCCCCAGCCCGCAGTGCCGCATCCCATGTGGGTGCTGGTTTGAGTCTCAGCTGCTCTATTTCCAATCCAGCTCTCTGCTATGACCTGGGAAAGCAGGAGGAGATGGCCTAAGTCCGTGGACCCTTGCACCCACGTGGGACACCCTGAAGAAGATCCTGGCTCCTGCCTTTGGATCAGCTCATCTCTGGCCATGTGGTCATGTGAGGAGTGAACCAGTGGATAGAAGACTTTTATCTCTCTCTGGCTCTACCTCTCTAACACTGACTTTCAAATAAATTTAAAAAAAAAAAAAAAAAAATGGATACTGGCCCCATAGCACCAAGAACAAAGCAGGGGTGTCTGCTCTTACCACTTCTATTCAGTTCTAGAAGTTCTAAGTCAGGGCAATCACACAAGAAAAACAATTTGAATCAATTAGATCGAAGAAGTGGAAACCACCTCTAGTCACAGAGGGTCTTATATAGAGAGGAGCCTCAGGCATTCATAGCGACCTACTGCAACTAGTAAATTAAGCAAAGCTGAAGTCTAAAGGTCAATAAAAAGATTTGGTATTCTGAACACCTGCAATAAACAATCCAAAAACGGAATGAAAATAATTCCACTTAAAACAGTATCAAGAAGAGTAAACCAGGGGCCAGTGCTGTGCCTGTGGGTACCGCTTTGGGACACGTCTCAGTGCCTCTCCTCAGGGGGTGATCTGTCTTTTCTCTCTGCCTCTTTGGGGTTCTTCTCCCTGTCTTGTTAGGAAGTACTTCAAAAAGTTCACACAAAGTACAAGTAAATTTATTTTGGTGCACAAATTTTTGAAACTCATGCATACAGGGGCCTTCAAAAATTTCATTAAAATATGTTACATGAAAGAATTGTAAATAAATTTTATCTTTTTTTTTTTTTTTAATTTACTTGAAAGTCGGAGTTACACAGAAAAAGCCCTGGCATCCCGTATGGGCACTGATTCGAGTCCCAGCTGCTCCACTTCCGATCCAGCTCCCTGCTAACGTGTCTGGGAAAGCAGTGGAGGAAGGCTCAAGTGCTTGTGTCCCTGCACCCACATAAGAGACCCTGAAGAAACTCCTGGCTCCTGGCTTCGGATCCAGCCGTTTTGGCCATTTGGGAAGTGAACTAGCGGATGGAAGACCTCTCTCTATCTCTCTTCAACTCTTTCAAATAAATAAAATAAATCTTAAAAAAAAAAAAAAAGTAGAGATTGAAAGAAGGGATGTGGTTGAATGAAGACAAGAATCAGAAGGACTTTAGTGTAACAGATCTCAAGGAGGGCCCAGGGGTTGTGCCTAAGTGTGAAAACACAGGTTGTGAAAATGGGTAGGGGCTGGTGCTGTGGCACAGGGTAATCCTCCATCTGCAGCACCAGCATCCCAAATGGGTGCCGGTTCTAGTCCTTACTGTTCCTCTTCTGATCCAGCTCTCTGCTGTGGCCTGGGAAAGCAGAAGATGGCCCAAGTCCTTGGGCCCCTGAACCCACGTGAGAGACCTGGAGGAAGCTCCTGGCTCCTGGCTTCGGATCGGCCTAGCTCTAGCCATTGTGGCTATTTGGGGATTGAACCAGCAGATGGAAGACCCTTTCTCTCTGTCTCTCCCTCTCACTGTCTGTAACTCTACCTCTCAAATAAATAAAATCTTTAAAAAGAAAATAAAATGGGTAAATAGAAGTATGTCACCCTTTCAAGCAAAAAATATGTAAAATAAAGAGAAATTTTAATTTAAAAAAGTAAACTAGAAATAAATTCTATCAAAGGAAACATAAACTTATGGTCTGAAAACTAACAATAATATCAAAAGAAAGACCTAAATAAATGGAAAAACATCCCGTGTTAATAGAGCAGAAGTTTTATTACCCAGAGCAATCTGTCAGTTTCTCAAAATCTCTATTAGAATCCCAGCTGGCTTCTCTGTAGAACTTGGCAAGCTCATTCTAAAATTCATATGGAGTTGCAAGGGGATAAAGCTATCTTGAATAAGAAGAAAGACAGGCTGGCATCGTAGCACAGTGGATTAAACTGCTGCCTGTAATGCCAGTCTGAGTCCCAGCTACTCAGCCCCTGACCCAGCTCCCTACCACTGCACCTGGGAAGGCAGCAGCGGATGCCGCACGTGCTCGGGTCCCTGCCATGCACGCAGGAGACCGTGCTGGAGTTCCTGGCTTGGGCTGGGCCCGGACATGGCTGTTACCAGCATCTGGAGAATGAATCAGTGGGTGGGAATATCTCACTCACTCACCCTCTCGCTCCCTCCAGCTTTCAAACAAGCAAAAAACAAAAAAACAAAGTTGGAGAATTCACACTTCCCCATTTCAAAACCTATTAAAAAGCAACACTAATAAAACAGGGTACTGGTATAAACAGAGACATATACATCGATAAATCACATTTACATGTCTATAAATAAACCCATACATTTTCAAGTCAAGCAATTTTCAAGAAATCTATCAAGACCACTCACTGGGAGAAAGAACAATCTCTTCAACAAATGGATAGTCACATAAAAAAATGATGTCAAAGTCTACCAAATATCATATATAAAAGTTAACTCAAGATGGATCAAAGAACTACATGTAAGAGCTAAAACTACAAAACTCTCAGAAGGAAATGGGGAAATCACCATGACCTTAGATTTAGCAATGAATTCTTAGATATGATACTAAAAGGATGAAAAACAATAAAAAGATTAAATGGGTTGCTTCAAAATTTCAGTGTGTGTGTATTACCAAGAAAGTAAAAAGATAACTATACAGGAGAAAACACCTGCAATGCAGTCAGGTATCTATAAGGGTCTAACACCTAGAATAACACATCAGGAATGCTTGCAACTCAACAAGAACACATACTACACAGTTCTGGAGTAGGCAAAGGGTGAAGCAGCCTCTTGGAATGCCCACATCCCACACTGTCAAGCCTGACCTGAGTCCTGGCTACTCCACGCTTCTGGTTTCAGCTTCCTGCTAACGCACCTGGGAGGCAGATGACAGCCCAAGTGCCTGGGTTCCTGCCACCCATGTGAGAGATGGGGGGAGCCCCTGGTTCGTGGTTTGGCCTGACCTATCCCTGGCTACTGCAGGCATTTAGGGAATGAATAAGAGAATGAAAGCGTTCTCTCTCTCTTCCTCTCTCTGTTTACTTTGCCTTTCAACTAAATAAAAAGCTTTTTTAAAAAAACAGTAGGCAAAGGATCTGAATAGACATTTCTCCAAAGAAAAATACATAATGGGCAGCAAGCGTATGAAAGAATACTCTGAACCCTAGAAACAGAGAAAACCTACGTCTGCATAAGAACCTGTACACAAGGACTTGGAGCAGCACTCCGGGTTCATGCTGCATCACGCCGCACCTTCTCAACACCACGTTAAGTGAAAGACGCCGGGCACAAAGGACAGCACGTAGAACGATACCATCTCCATGCAGCGCCAGAACAGACCAGCCCACGCGGAAACAACAGGCTGGGGGCTGCTCGGGTCTCAGGGACAGGGAGACAGTGGAATGACAGCTCGGGGTACAGAGCTCCTGCTGAGGTGGTTGCTGTGTACACTCTCAATAAAGCAGCTACGGAGAAAAAGAAGACAAAGGAAGTATCTGAGGTGCAAGAATGGTGGGCAATGATACTGAGCAAACAGATAAATCTAAACACCCGTTAAATTTTAAAAAAACAGTACTCTAAAACCAGGACTTTAAATAAATAACAAGACAACCAGTCTGAGACAACAGCTGCGTGTGTAAGTTCGGAAAGACCAAGTCCTTATGTTGTGCAAGGGCTGGGATGTTAAACAGGTTAATTTTATTTATTCAGGGTCAAACTGAACATGCACTATGAAAAGACAGAAACTGAAGGCTTCCAAAACCAGCCGAGCAAAAACCAGAATAAAGCAGGCAGAGTGCAGAGGTTAGCAAACTGCAGGCCAGAGGCAAAGCCAGCCTCCACCACTTGTTTTCATAAACAAAGCTGTGCTGGGCTGGGCTGTGCTCACTTCTGTGCTACGTGGCAGTGCTGTGTAGCTGCACCAGGGACAAGACAGCCCCACAAGGCTACGCCATTCGCTATCTGGCCCTTCACAGAAAGTCTGCTGGCGCTGGCTCCACAGCACTCGTCAACTGATGAGAGCCAGAGGCGCTGTGGGCTGCAGCTCCCTGTGCTGCCATGAGGACAACATTCCCGCCCCCTCCACAAGGACAAGGTTCGGCTGGCTCAGCGGGCAAGGACTCTGCTCTAGGAGTGCTCTCAGCAGCTCCCCAGCCTCGCAACCACCCTCCTCAGGCTCAGCAACGAGAACCTAAACCCCCCAAGAGAGGAAGGGCGGCCCTCATATTCCAAGACCCCACGCCACGTCTACCAGCTTCAGCAGTAGCATCCCGTGGCACCCAGCACAAGCCACAACCACACTCACATCTGCCAGGTCTCACACGTGCAAGCGTGCATCCATGTGTCCAAGTGTACACATGTGGTGATGTGCATAGGTTTTCCATGTGTACAGGTGTGGTGTGGTACACATGTGTATGCGTCTGCACCATGTACGTGTCTCCGTGTGTGCATATGGAACATACGGTGTGTTTGTGGATATTCCAATGCATCTATAGTAGTGATTTCAACAGTTAGATGGTAACCATCTGACTAGATTACATTTACGTAAGGTTAAAAATTAAAAATTAATTCATGCTGATTTCTAGAAAATTGGAAAACACAGACACAGAAGTGTAGTCCAGCTTTTTCTCTTAGGAAAAAACACACAGACCGGCAAAGCCGGTGTGTGTCTCTGGTCGGCGCACCAAGCTGCAGGACCCACGGCAGCCTCGCACGGCTTTGCTATCCACCTCCTCACTGAGCTGACCCAGCCCGGGGCGGCAGAGTTCACATAGCGCCTACAGCGCATCTTCAGTCCCGGCTCCTCCTCCTCCCCCTTCTCCTTGAAAAACTCTCCCAGCTGCATCTTCAGCCAAAGACGTCTTTCACCAGACCCGTCACGGCACAGGCGGCCAAGCCCGTGCACGGGAGAAGGGACGGCACCGTGTGCCTTCGAGGGTTTCCACAGCCCTTGTCTCCACTGTTGAGAACAGTGGTTTTTTTTTTCACCTTGCACTACTTGTTGAACTCTTTACTTACTGTAGGGTTAATCCTAGGAGTATAAGGAAACTGAAAATAGATCTTTGTAAAAATTAAGAGTGGGCACAGGAGAGGGAATGGGAAGAAGGGTGGGAGTGCGGGTGGGAGGGGATGGTAGAACGAGAAGAATCTGTGTATATGAAATGCATAAAATTTCTCTACCTTAAATAAAATTTTTTTAAAAAGCTGCATTTCTTCACAGTTCTAGTCTCCTCAGATGTTTGGCAGCCTCACAGAGCCAACACACCCCTTTCAGAGTAAGTTTTAAATGCATAAAACATAAAATATAGGGATGGGCCCCGGGCACAGGCGCTGACATGCCAGAGGCCCGGAGCCTTGATATCCACTATCAGAGTGCCTGGGTCTAAGCCCAGTTCTGCTTCCAACTCCAGCTTCCTGATAATGCACACTCCAGGAGGCAGCAGGTGATAGTTCAAGTACTGGGGTCAGGGCCAGTGTTGTGGCACAGTGGGTCAGGCTGCCACCAGCAATAATAACACCCCATACTGCTGGTTCCAGTCCTGGCTGTACCACTTCTGATCCAGCTCCCTACTCATGAGTCTGGGAAAACAGTAGAAGATGGTACTTAGACCTCTGCACCCATGTGGGAGAACTGGGAGTTCTGGACTCCTGACTTCGGGCTGGCCCAGCCCTGGCCATTGTGGTCATTTTGGGGAGTGAACCAGCAGACGGAAGATCTCTCTGTCTCTCCCTGTGTGGTTCTTCCTTTCAAATAAATAAATCTAAAATAATAAGTACTTGGGCCCCTCACCCACGTGGAGACCAAGATTGAGTTCCTGACCTCATCCTGGCCCAGCCCTGGCTGTTACACGCATTTGAGAAGTGAACCAGTGGACTGAAGAACACATTCTCACTCTGTTTCTCTCTGACATTCAAATAAAGTAAAATATTTTGGGGGCTAGTGCTATGACATAATAGGTTAAACATATGCCTGCAGTGCCAGTTCAAGTCCCAGCTGCTCCACTTCCAATGCAGCTCTCTGCTTACGGCCTGGGAAAGCAGTGGGGATGGCCCAAGTGCTTGGGCCCTGGAAGAAGCTCCTAGCTTCAGATCGGTGCAGCTCCAGCTGTTGCAACCATTTGGGGAATGAACCAGCAGATGGAAGACCTCTCTCATCTGCAATTATGCCTCTCAAGTAAATAAATAAATCTTTAAAAAATAAATAAAATAAAATAATTTTTAACAAAATATAGAGTGAAGATGTAAAATACGACATTTTTAAAAGCAGACGAAGAGCACAGTAATATGCGTACGAGGCAGTGACAGACACGACCATGTCGGAGATGCCTGTAGCTGCAGCGTGGGGTGGAAGATTCTGCGTCTTGCCAACCGCACGGGGTCCTGAGCACACTGGTAATGGAAGGAAATGTTAACTTTCAAGTAGAGGCCAGTGAAAATAAAGAGGCAGTTCTGTCCTACCCAGTGCACAGGGCCCTTACCTCCCTGAATTCCACAGTCCCGGGAAGTGAAGGACCAGGCTCCTTCCAGGCACATGCTCCCAGGCCACTCTGTGGCTCTGTTCTGGTCCTCAGCTCAGAAGGGGCGGGCCCCGGGCCCCAGGGAACCCAAGGAAATCCTCCTTGGAAGCCCGGCACTACCATCCCCTGGCCCGGCCCATCTGGGGGCGCTGCGGTCGCTCTTCCACACTCCCGGCTTCTGAGCCGTGACCCTCAGGGTAGGAGCACAGGCAGGGTTCGGACAGGCCTGCCCACCTTTGTCAACGCGAAGGCCACCGTCCCGTCGTCCTCCGTGGAGAGGTCAAACAGCTTCTGGTAAAACGCTTCATCGTAAGGCCCATCTATTTGTAACGTTTTTCTGAAGAAGAAAGCACAGAAAACGTGACCAAGTGGCCTGGAAATTGTTCCTCCAATCGCTAACATGCCCGACACCCCACAGCAAGGTTCAGGGTCACACACTTCATTTCTAAGGGCACCAGAGAGACACTGCTTCCGCATATTAAACTGGATTCCTGGACATTAAGGGCCCACACAGAAGCAGCAAGCCCAGAGCCAGGGAACCCTGCGGGGAGCCCTCTCCTGTTCGTGGCAAATGGAGTCACGTGGGCAGAGATGGGAGTGAAGCCAGGCAGTGGATCTGACCCCAGACACTGGGATTGCGGGGCCCCAGCACAGGCCCAGGAACCAGTTCCCGGGATGCTGCCGCGTGGGGGACACAGGAGCAGAGCTCAGCCCGTGGAGCGCCACTGCCCTCTGCAGGCTCAGCCCTGACTCGGATTTGTGAACAGGCAGGCTCAGAAATGCCCAAGGGACAACCCGCTTCGTGCTGATCCTGTTCCCCTCAGTGAGGGCAAGCCCCAAGCCAGGCCCTGGCTCCTCAGCAGGTAGAGGGAGCTGGCCGGCAGGGCCCCCGTCACGGCTCCCGGGCTGGCCTCACCTCTCCTCAGGAAACTCCTCCAGGTACCGCTCAACCCGCTTGTACAGAGGGTAGAGGCCTTCGATGTCCAGCAGGTCCAACATCTGCACCTGGAGGGTTTTGTACAGAAGACAGCCCTTCGGTAACCCCGAGCGCTCTGGGGTGTTTTTTCCTACCGAGAACATCAGGGGAAAACGAGAGCAGGTTTGTTATCAGAGGATGAAGACCTGAAGGCAGATGCAGGCTGGCGCAGGCCAGGGGGCTCCCTCGGGGCTGGGGGCCGGCATCACCACGGGCGAGGACTGCGCCCCACCTGGTGCTGAGGCAGACACCTGGGGCCCACACCAGTAGACGGCTGCAAACCCAAGCACCTGGCGTCAGGACCACCCTCTCCCACGTCCCTCTCCTCTTCAGAGCATCCTTTAAATTCACCCCAAGTCACTTCATGGTTGAAGTTTGGAGCAGGCGTGAGGAATGTCCAGCCCATGGGCCATATAAAATCCAAGAAACCACTTGGTCTGGCCCTGCCAAGGCAACCACAAGTGGCACTCAAAGTTCAGTAAGTCTATGTCAGGCTAATTGTTGAACTGATAATTCTGTGCGGCCGTGAATGATGTTATGAATACCCGAGTGGCCCCTGGTGGGAAAAAGCTTCCCCGCCTCTGCACTTTGGAGAGAGAACCGTCTTTCTCAGCAACCTGTGGCCACCTAGCCACATCCTGTGCTTCCTTAACAGCCCGTGTGCCCACACTGTGCGCTTCATTTTCACACTTTCCCAAAGCGATTGGGTTTACTTTCATAAAATTCACGCGTGGTAAGAGAAAAGCTGGCATGGGGCAGGGGGCAGTGGGCAGTGCAGGAGGCAGGGCCAGGGCCCAGCAGCACGGCTCTGCCTTCACACTTCCTCAGGAGTCTCTGTGCTCTTCAGACAGGAGGGACCCCGGCTCCTAAGATTCAGGACAGGCAGCCCCATCCAGTCTGCAGGGAAGGTGGCCAAGCCCACAGCCCGACAGTGCTGGGCCCCAGGCCTAAAGAGCCCCTGTACCCAGTGCTCTCTATGAAGCAGGTAAAGGGGCACCTGCACCGGGGTTGCCAGAGGACCAGGTAACAGGTGCAAACGCCGCCGATGCGGAGAGCACACAGAAACCTGAGGGCACGGTCCCTGGCAAACCCCACGCCGCAGGTACTCAGCAAACCATAAGAGGAGAGAAAAGGCGGTTTCCACTGGGTGCCCTGCAGGAAGGCACAGCTCCAATGGCTCCAACAGACCAGGCAGCTCCACCCCTGCTGCCCACGTGGCCAAAAGAACCCCACAGCCCCACCGCGCCCTGCCCGTCCAGGAGGCCAGGCCCTACCTTGGTGGCGCAGGCTCCTGCCGAACGGGCTGGCCTCGCAGACCCGTGGGCCCTGGGGCCCGGGCCGCAGCGCACCCGCCCGGCCCTTGTCGGTGCTGCTCAGCAGCACCCTCGTGATGACGTGCACCAGCTCCCGGATCACGGCCCTCGTGCAGTGCGGCCCGGCCGCCAGGCCGTTGGAAGGGAAGAAGAAGGGCTTCAGGTGGTGGGCGAGCTCGCTCCAGTCGGCCACGGGGCTGCGGGCGTCGCTGCAACCATAGATGAGCTCACCATTCTGCCGGCGGGGAGAGAGGGTTAGAGAGGGGATCGTGGCTCCATAGCTGGCGGGGACCGCCCATCCGGCCCAGGATGGCCCACCCACACACACCACCCGTACCCCAAGAGGCAGGGCCCACCAACAGGGGAGAGGAAAAAATGTTTGCACAACTGAAGACTAGCCCCGGCCTGAGAGCCACACTCAGACAACCCTTGCCGGCACATGGAAAGCCATGCAAACCTTGGCACAAACAACACGCTCACAACGGCACCAGCTCAGGTACTTGGGTGCTGGAGCTGCTGGGCTCTGGCCCACAGTGGGCAGACTTAAGGGTGGCAGAAATGGGTAAGTTCCAGATGGCTCCGCCTGCTTTGAGCGAGCCAGCAGGACACTGCCACTCACACGCATACACTGCACTCACACGCATACACTGCACTCACACGCATACACTGCAGGGCACGTGGGACATCACCACGCAGCAGGCCTAACGCTCAGGCTTCCCTGGGCCTGGGTGGGGTCTGGGGAGAGGCCCAGTCAGCGGCCAAGCCTGGAGCATGAGGAGCCTCTCCAGGATGGCCCCAAGGTCCCAACACACCCTGGGGCCCTCTCGGGAGGAGCCTGCCCAGCATCACCAACAGCGGGTCTCAGTTAAGGTGCCATGGCTTCTGTCTCTCCTGGGGTCACAGCCTCAGGGAGGGTCTCACAGGTGGGACTGAGGCCGCTAGCCCTGGCCATGCCTTCAGCTGAGATACAGCCTAGAGAAGGGCACCAGGCCAAAACCATGGAGCTGGGGCCAGTGCTGTGGTGCAGCAGGTAAAGCTACCGCCTGCAGTGCCAGCATCCCATATGGACACCGGCTGTTTTAATTTTTTTATCTTTTTTTTTTTTTTTTTTGACAGGCAGCATTAGACAGTGAGAGAGAGTGAGAGTGAGAGAGAGAGAGAGAGAGAGAGAGGTCTTCCTTTTTCCGTTGGTTCACCCTCCAAGTGGCCGCTACGGCCGGCACGTTGCGGCCAGTGCGCTGCGCCAATCTGAAGCCAGGAGCCAGGTGCTTCTCCTGGTCTCCCATGCGGGTGCAGGGCCCAAGGACTTGGGCCATCCTCCACTGCACTCCCGGGCCACAGCAGAGAGCTGGCCTGGAAGAAGGGCAACCGGGACAGAATCCGGCGCCCCAACCAGGACTAGAACTTGGGGTGCCGGCGCCGCAGGCAGAGGATTAGCCTAGTGAGCCGCGGCGCTGGCCCAGGACACTGGTTTGAGTCCCAGCTGCTCCACTGCCAATCTAGCTCTCTGCTATGTCCTGGGAAAGCAGTAGAAGATGGCCGAAGTCTTGCACCCACATGGGAGACCCGGAAGAAGCTCCTGACTTCGGATCAGCTCAGCCATTGTGACCATTTGGGGCATGAACCAGCAGATGGAAGACCTCTTTGTCTCTCTGCCTCTGCCTCTCTAAAACGCTGCCTTTTAAATAAATAAATAATGAAAAACACAACCCACAAAGCTGCCCTGAGCTCCTGGCCTCAACAGCAGTCAGAGGGTGTGGATGTGTTAAGCTAAACTTGACACAGGGAAGGAGACTCTTGCTCTTGAGCCACCCTGAGACCGCAGCTGGCCACACTGGCAGGAGACGAGCGGGGGGCTAGGACAGAGAGCTGCCTGTGTGGAGGTGAACCTGGTCCCTTCTAGGCCTGGGGCCAGCTTGGGGGGACTCCTCACCGCAGGGCCTCACATCGGTCCCAGATGGCAGACCATAGGCTCCAGGACAAGTGCTCACCCACCCCGAGTCCCCACCACACCTCTCATCACCGCAGTGCAGTGTGGAGCACAGACCACAACCCAGGCAGCTTCTGCACACTTGGAATTTCAGAGTTTTCTACCTTGTGGTGTTTGAATGCCAAACCCAGAAAGCAGAGTGGAGGCTTAAGTGTCCAAACCACAGTCACTGGTGAGGGCTGCACAGGTGTTGCTGTCCTGTTATTTTAAATAGCCATTCCACACTCAGAGTTTGGTAAAGTGGCATAATATAAAATCGAAACAAAAAAATCAATAGCCTTTGTATACACAGCAGTGTCATGCTGAGAAAGAACTCTTAAGATTAGTCCGATTCACAATAGCTCCAAAAAGAACTAAATACCCTGGAATAAATTTAACCAAGGATGTCAAAGATCTCTACAATGAAAATTGAAAAACACTACAGAAAGAAATAGAAGACGACATTTAAAAAATGGAAAAATCTTCCATGTTCATGGTTTGGAAGAATCAACATCATCAAAATGTCCATACTACCAAAAGCAATCTAGAAAAATATGAGGCTAAAATTCATATGGAAACACAAGAGACCCCAAATAGCTAAAGCAATCTTAAACAACAAAAACAAAGCTGGAGGCATCACAATACCTGATTTCAAGACATATTACAGGGCAGTTATAATCAAAACAGCCTGGTACTGGCACAAAAACAGACTTGTATACCAATGGAACAGAACAGAAACTCCAGAAATCAATCCATGCATCTACAACCAACTTATCTTTACAAAGGAGCTAAAATCAATCCCTGCAGCCAGGACAGTCTCTGTAACAAATGGTACTGGGGAAACTGGTTCTTCACATGCAGAAGTATGAAACTAGACTCACACCTTACACAAAAATCCACTCAAAATGGATCAAAGACCTAAATCTACGACCTGATACCATCAAATTACTAGAGAATGTTGGGGAAACTCTGCAAGACATTGGCATAGGCAAAGACTTCTCGGAAAAGACCCCAGAGGCACAGGCAATCAAAGCCAAAATGGACAAATGGGATTGCATCAAGCTGAGAAGCTTCTGCACTGCAAAAGAAGCACTCAGCAAAGTGAAGAGGCAACCAACAGAATGGGAGAAAATGTTTGCAAGCTACACAGATAAAGGGTTAATATCCAGAATCAATAAAGAGCTCAAGAAATGCAACAACAACAAAACAAACAATCCAGTTAAGAAATGGGCAAAGGATTTGAACAGGCATTTTTCATGAGAGGAAATTCAAATGGCCAACAGACACTTGAGAAAATGCTCAGCATCACTAGCCATCAGGGAAATGCAAATCAAAACCATAGTGAGGGCCGGCGCCACAGCTCACTAAGCTAATCCTCCGCCTAGCGGCGCCGGCACACCAGGTTCTAGTCCCGGTCGGGGCGCCGGATTCTGTCCCGGTTGCCCCTCTTCCAGGCCAGCTCTCTGCTGTGGCCAGGGAGTGCAGTGGAGGATGGCCCAGGTGCTTGGGCCCTGCACCCCATGGAAGACCAGGAAAAGCACCTGGCTCCTGGCGTCGGATCAGCGCAGCGCGCCGGCCGCGGCGGCCATTGGAGGGTGAACCAACGGCAAAGGAAGACCTTTCTGTCTCTCTCTCTCACTGTCCACTCTGCCTGTCAAATTACACAAAGAAAGAAAAGAAGAAAAAAAAAAACCATAGTGAGGTTCCACCTCACTTCAGTTAGAATAGCTATCATACAAAAATCAACAAACAAACCCTGACAAGGATGTGGGGAAAGAGGTACCCTAATCCACTGCTGGGAAAGTAAACTGGTACAGCCACTGTGGAAGACAGTATGGAGATACCTCAGAAATCTGAATATAGACCTACCATGTGATTTAGCCACCCCACTCCTTGAATTTACCCAAACCAAAAGAAATCAGCATATGAGTTATCTGTACTCCCATGTTCACTGCAGCACAATTCACAACAGCTAACATATGGAATCAACCCAGATGTCCATCAACTATTGACTGAACAAAAAAATTATGGTATATATACACTACAGAGTAATACTCAGCTTTAAAAAAAAGAAAAAAGAAATCAATCCTGTCTTTTGCCAACAAGATGGACACAACTGGAAACCATTATACTTAGTGAAATAAGCCAGTCCCAAAAGACAGATATTGTATGTTTTCCCTGATGAAGGTAACTAGTAGAGTGCCTGAAATGTAATGTATGGGAGTGAAATAGACATTTTGAGATTCGATGACTGTTTATAGCCCTTTGAGGAAGTTTTTTTCTTCTTCACATTATTTGCTGAACTCTTTTACTTAGTGTAGGGTTAACTATATGATCATTAAGTAAACTGAAAATAGATCTTTGTAAAAAATTAAGAGTGGGAATGTGAAAGGGAGGGAAGAGGAAAGGTTGGAATGCAGGCAGGAGAAAGGTAGGGGGAGAACTGTCACTATGTTCCTAAATCTGTATACATGAAATACATGAAACCTGTATAACAAGTAAACTTTTTAAAAAGCCATTCCATGTCACATTTCTCACTATCTCTTCTGAAACTATCCACTAAGCCTCTGGACTTTTCCATGCTGATTTCAACAGAAAACCAGCCTCCTGGACTCCGGCAACCCTATGTGTGGGCCTGACAGAGGGTTAGAGAAGGGTCCCTTCAGGACAAAAGGCCAGCCACGCCTCAGACTTCAGAGATCCCGGAGGAAGGGAATCTATCTTCAGATGTTAGATATCAAGTGTTTTAAGTTCTTAAAATGGTTTTAAAAAACTGCTTTTGAAATGTTTCCCTTTTCTAGACTTGAGAAAGTAAAGACAGCCAGAGAATAAGGTCAACTATTTGAGCCAGCAGCCAGGAAAACAGAGTTTCTGAGCCAGAGCCAAGGAGCCAGGTCAGAAACAGGCCTCATCCGCCCACTTCTGAGGGGCGTCCAGTGGGTAGCTGGAGGAAGACAGGGCCTGCAGCTCACCAGTCCCTGCATCCAAACAAAGCGCAAGGAGTCAGGAGGCCACCCTGACCCCTGTCTCCTGATGACACAGTGGTCTAAAGGCCGCAGAGCGGTCCACGAGGGGCACAGATCATGCCTTAGAGGTTCTTAGAGATCCTCAGGGAACTTCGAGGTCTGCTGGCAGGGGTGAAGGGGAACAATTTGCTGGATGCCAACAATGCCTGCGAGGCCTGACGCGCTAAGGTGCCGGGGGGGCCCTGACCCGGACATCTCAAAGGGCCTGCAGAAAGATGCCTGCCCTGGTCTGCGTCTATCCCCACGCAGCCGGGCTGGCTTAATCTCACTCTTCTTCAAGGACCGCTGCAGCTGCAGGCACCCCCTTCTGCGGGACACTCGTTTGGTCCCTAACGGAACCTGCCTCCTGATCTGTGACTCTTCCAATCCTAACCTCCTCGTGATTTTTCGGCCTGTACTCCTCCTGCACATCCAGCGCCAGTGATGGATCCCCGTCCCACGCTGGCACCCACACACCTTCTGGATGGTTCCAGAAGGCAGAACTAGAACCAGGACCCGCATGGCAACAAGGCCACCACGTTTCCAACATGGGCGTAACCCCCAACTTCTGATCGGGCTGGCCCTACCCCCAACCTCGCCCTCACCTCCCTTACCCAGGCCTCTCCTCTGCCAACACCCACCCCTGCACAGCCTCCTTTTCCCTCCGCTTCTTGTCCCCACCTCTGCCTGACCCATTTCCTCCTCCCCTCGGACACCAGCAGGCCAGGGGAGTAGGGAGCCTTAGTGACCCAGGCCAGAGCCAGCCTAGGGGGCAACAAGAACCTGAAGGTGGTTACACTGAGTGGCCAAGATCCCCTCATCCCGCACAGTGAGGTACAGGACAGTCAGAACTGCAGGACCTGGACAATTAGCTTTGCAACAAAGAGCTCCCAAATTAACCAGGAGAGAAGGCGCAGGGAGGCTCTCAATGTTCGGCTTCCCTCACAGATACTGTGACCTGGGCGGTCAGCTGGGTCCCACTCCTGCTCCCCACTCAGCCCCGTGGTCTTCCCCATGGATGCTTCCAGGGCACACACCTCAGGGCCAGACTGCCCAGGGTCACACACTGTGCTCGTGGAATGGGGCTCAGAAAAGGATGGATAGAGATGGAGGGTCTGGGACTGGGCGACTGTGCGGACAGCAGGGGCTCAAGGACCCCACAGGGCACCAGACTGCAGAGCTGTGCCTCCGACAGCCCAGACCCGGTCTGCACAGTCACCCAAACCTGTCCCGAGAACAGTGCACAGTGGGTTCACCTGAAACCAGAAAACGGAGTGGCTCTTACCTTAAATATCTTCAAGTTGTTCTGTGTCTCCTGCAGCAAACTCTTCAGTGCAAAGTGCATCCTTTGTTTGTTTCTAAGGGGAAGGAGTCACACACTTAAAGGTAGCTGGGATGGATCTGGTCTCCAGACCCCCTGGCTGTGGCTGCCCGAAGCCAGGTACTTCGGGGCTGAACCACAAACCCAAAACCCAGAGCCCAGAGAGTTCCAGTCATGTCTTCCCCCTCTCTACAGCTCCACCCCACCCCTCCATGCCCACGAGGGACGTGGGACTCTGGCCTCCTCCCTCCCCAGCCTGGCCTATGCCCCTATTGGAGGCAGGAGTGGGGTGTGGCCCTAAGCCCTAGGTCTGAGGAGAGATGCGCAGGACCCCAGGAGACCACAGCCCCACCGGCCACATCACAACCTGGCCAGTTCTGACTACTCCCCCCCACCCCCCCACCACCGGTTCTTCCTGCCTCAGCTTCCACAGGCGGCAGTGCCTAGGGCAGCAGGAGGTGTGTGGTCAGTCACTGGGTGGGACGGGTGCAGGGAGCCAAGGAGAAGAGCGGCGACCCGGGGACGCCTGTCCTCCCGCCCCCACCGCCAAGCCCAGGATCCCCCTCTTGCCAGGCCACTCACTCCCCGGCAATCTGCGAGGTCTGTCGTCCCGTCCCCACCGTCACGCACCCTCCATTCCTCCTCCTCCTCTCAGGGGCAACACCATCATCCCTAACAACCCTGGCCCGCCAACTCCTGCTCCCACAGGTAACCAGCAGGAACCCATGGGGCAAAGCGACCCCAAGCAAAAAAGCTGAGGTGGCACCCCCCATCAGGCCATGGAAGGCATTCCACTTAATATGCTTTAACAAATGTTAAAGTGTCCCCAGTGATCTGTGTTACCAATTGCTTCAAAACCCACAGCCTGGAGGGGCACATCAACACCTGACTCACAGGTGCACGCACCAACTGCCTGACGCCCACCCGAACGCACTGAGCTACACTGCGCCTTCCTCCTTCAGCACCCTCAACTCTGCATCCGAACTCTGTTCTGGGAGGTGTGCAAGGGCATCTAGGTAGTGGCACTGAAGCGACAACCTTGGGCACACAGGCCGAGAGAGGAGCAGGCAGGGAGGGTGGGAGGGTGGGAGGGCCGGGACCACGGGGAGGGAAAAGGTCATGGGGAAGAGGGAGTGCACTTGCCAACAAGGACAGCGAAGCTCACAGACCTGCGGGTCACTCCCCTGGGTGTGCTGGCAGGAGGGAGGGCTCAAGAGGGCCTGTCCCCTGTCCACACCTGGTTTACCCCAGGACCCAGTGACCCTCCCCTGTTCTGGCCACAGCGTACCTGACCACAAACACTCGGGGGGGGGGGGGGGACAGGACTAGGCCAGGCTGCCTGCTAACGAGGGGCACTTAGGCTGCACAGCAGAGCCGCGGGGCTGGGACAAAAGCAGAGGGCCTGAGAGCCTGCGCACAGCCACTGGCAGCCTCACGGGCAGAAGCAGCCCGGCGGCAGCAGAGGTACAGGCTCCGCAGAGAAGCGAGGAGCAAAGGCATTGAGGAGCAGGCTGTGGAGGTCCCTCCAGGGAGATGGGCACCAGCTACGGCTGCGGGACTGCAGACAGAGGCGTGGAGCGCCCGCAGGTCTGCAACCGCCTAAGCCCAGCAACTGCAATGCTGAGGGCGAAGCAGACCCCTGGACATGGAGTAGGGCCCCGGCCCCGCCCCACAGAGTTCCTAGAATACTCCCTACCACGCCCCTCACAGGATATCCCCTGGTTCGGCACCACCCCCACACCAGAGGGCAAATGAGAAGTGTCTCTTACCCTGAGTAGAGATCCAGGGGACAATATTTACTTATCTGCTTCCACTTCCCAGTCGCTACCTGTTAAAATACCAACACAAGGGCATCAAATATCTGGCTGCTCGTGACTTCACTGTGCCAACATCAGCACAGAACAGGCAAGTGACATATGATGATTAAGATGAGCTATAGCCTTCTCCCAGGTCCCACCACTTTTACAAGTGCACACGACTAATGCGGAGAATCCACAACTCCCATCCGAGGGAAGCTCAGCCCGTCTCGGAGACAGGCGGTCACCATGTGAGCAGGAGCCTAAAAGCAGCAAACATCCGAAAATCACATTGCTAAATTATTTCTGAAATTTCTATCTACGTTCATTTTATGTGAGACAGGTGGAGAGAGAACTTCCATCCACTGGTTCATTCCCCAGCTGCCCACAACAACCAGAGCTGGCAGGATGAATCCAGGAACTCAGAACTCCACCCAGGACTTTCCCCCTGGGTCTCCAATATGGGTGGCAGGGACTCAAGTACTTGAAGCCTCACCTGCCACCCCCTAGTATATGCCCAGATTGGAAGCTCAGTAGCTGGGACTTGAACCAGGCACTCAACATGGGATGCAGGTGTCCCAAGCAATCGCCTAGCCACTGCACCAAATGTCTACCCCCACATAGGCAAATTATGATGAGATGAAAAAAATCTTCAAAATAGTGATATCCCGTAACGAGGAGGATGCGGCCCTGTACGTAAATTGGCATAATCTTCTAAAAGGAAACTTGCTGGTTGGATCCATTAAAATCTAAGATGTATACATCCCCTGACAGCAAACCTACAAAAAAAACCTAGAAAAACTAGCACAGAGCAAAAAGCTAGAGCGATAAGGATGGTCACCTCGGCCTTATTCATAATAGCAAGACCCTGGGACCAAGAGAGGCAGTGGTCAGCAGGAATGAAAGGACATTCAACAACAACTCTCAGAGATTATTTAAGAAAAGAAAGCATCCACAGCGCAGGCAGAATTCCAGAAAGAAATGCAAACTGACAATATAAGAAGGCAGGTGACTCAATTCATACGACATGACATTTTATCAGCTACTGCTTCACAGTAAGAAATATTTTTAAATCTACCATTTATATTGAAAGTGATGGAGACAATGAAATCCCAAGGGACTGGCTCACATACCTTCCTTCCCTAACAGCCTGGGAAGTTTTAACTCCACAAAGAAACGAAGAGATGCTGGAAGAAATGGTAGAGCAATCACTGCTGGAAATGACCTCCTCCACAAAGGCCGTGAGAAAATGGGCAAAAATGGTCAGAGGGAAAAATGGAACTCTGGAAACTGACCAAACATTTACAACAATCCAAAGTGCATTTATTCAAGCAAAGGGGGAGGGGACCAGCACTGTGACGTAGTGGGTAAAGCCGCTGCCTGCAGTCCTGGCATCCCATATGGGTGCCGGTTCGAGTCCCAGCTACTCCTCTTCCAATCCAGCTTTCTGCTATGGCCTGGGAAAGCAGTAGAAGACGGTCCATGTCCTTGGGCCTCTGCACCCACATGAGAGACCTGGAGGAAGCTCCTGGGTGCTGGCTTCGGATTGGCGTAGCTCCAACCGTTGCAGCCAATTGGGGAGTGAACCAGCGGATGCAAGACCTCTCTCTCTCTCTGACTCTCCTCTCTATATAACTCTTCCAAATAAATAAATAGATCTTTTTTTTTTTAAAGGCCAAATCTAAGCAAAAACAGTGAGCTCTCTGATATCCTATCCCCTCTTCCTCTCCCATTTCTAGCACCAAAGGAAACCTGAATACCAATACACACAGTAAAAAACTAACATCCTGACAGCCAGACAGACAGAAGGCAGAAGCACCTCCCAGTCTCACTGCTAGCAGACTGCCACAGTACTTGACTTGTCTCCTGGCTGCCAAGATTCCCACTTGCACGGTTGCTTTTACTAAACCTACTCAGAGCTTGTTGTCGAGCAAATTGGAGTGTTCTACAGTGTCACTTATCAGCAGTGAAGCTATACAGAGGCAAAGCTTTCGTTTATTACAGAAATAAAGTTGGTATAAATCTTAACTAGGCTGTTTAGATTATGATATCAAACTATTAAGCAGAACTACACAGAAAGTCAACATGGAAGTAAAGACTTGAATAACACTATAAACCAGCTATACCTAACATAACTACACAACACTCCAGCCAAAAGCAGATCTACTCAAGTAGATAAGAAACATTCTTGAGGACAAACCTTGTATTAAACAAGTCTCAATAAATTTTATAAGATTTATTTATTTGAAAGTCAGATTTACAGAGCGAGAGAGGGAGAGATAGAGAGAAGTGTTCCATACGCTGGTTCATCCCTTAGATGGCCACAACGGCTGGGACTGAGCCAGACAGAGGCCAGGAGCCAGCAGCTTCTTCCAAGTCTGCCATGTGTGCAGCAGGTGCCCATGCACCTGGGCCTTCCTCTGCTGCCTTTCCCAGGACATCAGCAGGGAGCTGGATTGGAAGGGGGGCAGCCAGGCCATGAACCAGCACATGGAATGTGCCAGCACTGTAGGCAGCAGCTTTACCCTCCAAACCACAATGCCAGTCCCTCAATAATTTTTTTTTATTTGACAGAGTTACACAGTGAGAGAGAGACAGAGAGAAAGGTCTTCCTTCTGTTCACCCCCCAAATGGCCGCTACAGCCGGAGCTGTGCCGATCCGAAGCCAGGAGCCAGGTGCTTCCTCCTGGTCTCCCACGGGGTGCAGGGCCCAAGCACTCGGGCCATCCTCCACTGCCCTCCTGGGCCACAGCAGAGAGTGACAGAGCAGGTGTTTGAAGCAGCATTAAGACACCTGGATCCTCTATCTGAATGCCTGGGTGTGAGTCCCAGCTCTGCTACTGATTCCAGTTTCCTTCAATGCACACCCTGAAGGCAGCAGGTGATACTCAGGTAGCTGGGTCCCTACCACCCGTGTGTAAGACCTGGATTGAGGGGCCAGCTTCTCCTCACTCCCATGCCTAAGTACGTACACACATACATACATACAGCAGCACCATGCAAATAATGTTCTACAATTAAAATCAGTAACAGTGGAAACTGAAAATCAGTAATGCAATGAGAAACTCACAAATACTCCTAATCATCAATGGGTCAAAAAAAGGACTCAAAAAACAATTAAAATGAAAACACAACATATAAAACTTGTGGGATATAAAACTTGTGGGATAAAGAGCAAGTAGTATTTAGAGGGAAAATCACAGTTGTAAACATCTATAAAAGGAGAAAGATTTCACATCAATAACCTAACTTTCTAACCCCCAACAAATTACTAAAAGAACAACAAACTAAACCTATAGCAATCAGAGAGAAGAGAACAGTAAAGACTGGACTGGAGATAAATGAAATAGAAAATAAGGGCTAAAACAGAAAAAAGGAACAAAACCAAAAGTTCTCTGAAAAGACCAACAAATATGATATAATCCATTGGCAAGACCAAGACAAAAGACAAAGGAATCAATGATTAAAGTCAGGACTGAAAAATGAAACATTACTCCAACCTTGCAGAAATAAAAACAATTACAATGGAATACTCTAAATAATACAGGCCAACAAATTAGATAAAATGGACCAATTCCTGGTAACACACAACCAACAAAACCGATGCAAGAAAGATTCTCAACAGACAAATACCGAAGGACTGAATTGGTAATCAATGTGCTGGCATCCCACATGGGCACCGGTTCATGTCCCGGCTGTTCCTCTTCCAATCCAGCTCTCTGCTATGGCCTGAGAAAGCAGCGGATAATGGCACCCATATCTGCATGGCAGACTCAAAAAAACCTCCTGGCTCCTGGCTTTGGGTCAGCCCAGCTCCAGCCATTGTGGCCATTTGGAGAGTGAACCAGTGGATGGAAGACCTCTCTCTCTGTCTCTCCCTCTGTCTGTAACTCTGCCTCAAGTAAATACACAAAAATCTTAAAACTGCTGCCTAAGGTGCTGGCATCCTATATGCTTGCTGGTTCAAGTTCTGGATGGTCCATGTCCAATCCAGCTCCCTATTAATGTGCCTGGGAAAGCAGTGGAAGATGACCGAAGTCCTTCAGCCCCTGCACCCATGTAAGAGACCCGGATGAAGTTCCTGGTTCCACCTAGCCTAGCCTCGACCGATGAGGCCATTTGGGGAATGAACCAGCAAAAGACAAACCTCTCTCTGTGTCTCTCCCTCTCTCTGGGACTCTGCCTTTTAAAGACACAGAAAATTAAAAATCATTGAAAGAAACTAAAGACCTAAATAATTGAAAGAGATCCTGTGTTCACAGTTAAAATGTAATCACTGTTAAAAAGGTGGTATTTCCCACACTGATGCACAGATTCAACGGAACTCCTTTCAAAATCTTTGCTGGTTTCTTTGTGGATACGGACAAGCTAAAGGCATCAAATTACAAAGGAAGAGGTAAAACTTTGTTTTCACAGATGGCCCTACACACAGAACTACTGGAGCTAATAAAAAAATTAGCAAAGAGACAGAGTACAAGATCAACACACAAACATCATCTTGTCTCTATACATAAGAAATGAACTCTGAAAAGCCAAGTAAGGAAGTAATCCTACTTAAAATATTCCAAAAAAAAAACAAAACCCCTGGAAATAAACTAATTGAAGCACTAAAAGACTTATACACTGGAAACTACACTGCTGAAAGCTAATAAGGAAGACCTAAATAAATGGAAAGACATTCCATGTTCATAGATCCTAAGACTTAAAAATGATAAGATGGAAGGCCATCGCTGTGGCATAGCAAGTAAAGCCGCCGCCTGCAGTGCTGGCATCCCATATGGGTGCCGGTTTGAGTCCTGGCTGCTCCACTTCCAATCCAGCTCTCTGCTATGGCCTGGGAAAGCAGTAGAAGATGGTCCAAATACTTGGGCCCCTGCACCCGCATGGGAGACCTGGAAGAAGCTCCTGGCTCCTGGATCAGCACAGCTCCAGCCATTGTGGCCAACTGGGGAGTGAACCAGTGACCGAAGACACCTCTCTCTCTCTCTCTCTGACTCTCCTTCTCTCTAACTCTTTCAAGTAAATAAATAAATCTTTAAAAAATAAAATTTAAATTTAAATTTAAAAAAAGAAATACATGAAATTTGTACACCTTAAATAAAATTTAAAAGTGGGGGGAGGGACAGAGAGAGATCTTTTCCATTTGCTAGTTCACTCCCCAAAGTCCAAAACAGCTGGGACTGGGCCAGAAACCAGAACTGTACCTGCCTCTCGCATATGAGTGGCAGGAACTCAAGTATCAGATCTGTCATCCACTGCTTCCCAGACACATTAACAAGGAGCCAGATGGGAAGACGAGCGCTCCGGTAAGAGACTGCAGGCATCCCAAGCAGCGGCTTAACACGAAGCACCACAATGCCTGCCCCCAAGCTCCACTCCTAATCCCAGCTGCCTGCTAATGTACGCCTTGGGAAGCAGCAGGCAGTGGCTCAAGTAGTCAGGTCCCTGACAGTCACGGGAGAAATCCAGACTGAGTTCTGGGTTCCGGCTTTTGCCTGGCCCAGCTCTGACTGTTGGCAGGCATTTGAGGATTGTCTGTACACATTTGTCTGTCCCTGTATGTGTGTGTATTTGTCTGCCTTTCAAATAAAATAAGATAAAAAAATTTTAATTCATATTAGTCTTAAAGGTTTACTTTTTTATTTGAAAGGCAGAGTTTCAGAGAAAGAGAGATCTTCCCCTTCACTGGTTCAATCCCCAAATGGCTACAGCAGTAGGGACTGGCCCAGGCTGAAGTCAGGATCTTCATCTGGGTCTCCCAAGAGGGTGCAGGGGCCCAAGCACTGGGGCCACCTTCCACTGCTTTCTCAGGCCACAGCAGGGAGCTGGATTGGAAGTGGAGTAGATGGGACACGAACCAGCCTCCGCAAGGGATGCCGGGATCCACTGGTGGCAGCTTAACCTGCTGCACCACAATGCAGCCCCTGATAAAATTTTCTTGAAAATGGACCTGGCGCTGTGTAGTAGGCTAAGCAGCATCCCATACGGGCACCGGTTTGTGTCCCGGTTGCTTCTCTTTCAGATCCAGCTCTCTGCTGTGGCCTGGGAAAGCAGTAGAAGATGGCCCAAGTCCTTATGCTACTGCACCCGTGTGGGAGACCCAGAAGAAGCTCCTGGCTCCTGGCTCCAGTTCGGCCCAGCTCCGGCCGTTGCCACCATGTGGGGTGTAAGCCAGTGCAGAGAGGACCTTTCTGTCTCTCTCCCTCTCTCTGTGTAACTCTACCTCTCAAATAAATACATGTTTTTAAAAATATTTTTAGGCACAAAATTTTGAAATCCATGCATAGTTTATCATAATACACATTCTCCATGAACTTTGTGAAGATTCTGCCTATGCTACAAACCAAATAAAATTACAACAGAATTCCTATAATTCAAAGAACTCATTAAAGAAATCAAGAAAAATTTGCAACTGTATGACACAGGCTTGGTAAGGCAGTTCTAGACACGGCCCCTCATAACTGAGGCAGGGCTGACCTCAATTTCCGGCTTGCAGGAAGACCACAGCTGTCTCGACTTTGTGCACCAGCACCGGCATGCTGCTAAAATACACAGAGGCCCATTTTACTGCCCATCACACTGCAAAGTCCTCACAGAGTGATGTACATCTGGATGCTTGGGATTCCCCCACTTTTCTTGAAGGACGTGTCATTTGTGACAGAAGGCAGAGGGGCGCTGCCAGCAGCTAGCAGGAGGGAGCATTCAGAAAGAAGAGAACAGTAAAGACTGGACTGGAGATAAATGAAATAGAAAATAAGGGCTAAAACAGAAAAAAGGAACAAAACCAAAAGTTCTCTGAAAAGACCAACAGATATGATAAAATCTATTGGCAAAACCAAGTGATGATAACTTGGGTGAACATATGTCCTGGATTGTCAGATACTTCCTGCGTATGCCTGCTTTCCTGGCTAAAATGATCAATAGCACCGCTCTTACTCCTGGAAGTAGCATAGTGCAGGCGACAAATTAGGTCATTACCTAATTATTTAAGCTCAAGTTGGCCATCAGCTTGAAATGTTGATATTCTTGTATTATACACTTATAAAGTTATTATTACAGCTTTCGTTTGGTTAAAAAAAGAAATAGAACCACAGGGGCCAGCACAGTGGCGAGGTGGGTAAAGCCGCTGCCTGCAGTACCGGCATCCCGTATGGGCACCAATTCGAGTCCTGGCTGCTCCATTTCCGAGCCAGCTCTCTGCTGTGGCCTGGGAAAGCAGTAGACGATGGCCCAAGTCCTTGGGCCCCTGCACCCATGTGGGAGACCCGGAAGAAGTTCCTGGCTCTTGACTCAGCCCAGCACCAGCCATTGCAGCCATCTGAGGAGTGAACCAGCAGGTGGAAGACCTCTCTCTCTCTCTCTCCGCCTCTCTGTAACCCTGCCTTTCAAATAAATAAATAAATCTTTAAAAAAGAATCATTATGCAAAGTGAGGAAAACGTAGTCACAAAAGGCCACATGATTCCCTCTGTATGTCACATTCCGAACAGGGAGACACACAGAGACAGAAGACAGAGGGGCGCTGCCAGCAGCTAGCAGGAGGGAACAATAGAAAGTGGCTGCTAACAGGGACAGGGCTTCTTGGTAAAATCATGACAGTGTCCAGGAATTAGACCGAAGTGACTGCCCCACCTGCCAAGATATAAACCCACTGAACCACACACTGTACACGAGAGAGTGAATCTAACGATCTGTGACTTCTACCACTGTGAAGTGAAGTCAGCAGTAAATACTCCTGTCCTTCTTTCGCCTTTCTGAAAACGCCAGGTGGCCCCGGGCAGCCCGGCCCACCCTCCCGCTCCTCACCTTGAGATGCTGGTGCATGCAGTAACGGCACACCTTATGCTTCATCTCATGCGTGACATCACTCGAGAAAGGAATAAACCCGCATTTGGGCTGTAACATTAAAGAGTAAGGAGAAATGCTGTTCAGGGAGAAATGACAGCCCTCAACACACAGATACATCCCTAACTACAAGAGGATGAGGCGCACGGAGCGTCAGGCAGAGCCGTCCCAAGGCTGTGCTCACTGCCAGCTCCCTCCGCCACGCAGAGGTCTCTGCATCCAGAACTCTCCAGGACAGGGTGTGCAGCCTGACACTGCACGCGACACGGCAGCTCTGAGCTTCCACCTGGCCCCCAGCTCCCAGAGGCAGAGCACTGTGCCCGGATCATCAGGGAACCTCAGCCACTTTCTGAACGCGGTGGCCTCTGACCGTGCAACCACAAGGCCCGGGCTGGGTACTGGAGAACGTGACTGAGGAACACGAACCTACACACAACCATCACCAGGCACAAGCGCCACAGACGTCACCGCCTCGGATGCATGGTGGCAGGAGACAGACGTGACCAGGACATGGAGGGAAGATTTCTGGGGAGCTCAGGCCCACTGCTGACTTGGGCGGCAGAACCTTCTCCAGCCCCTGCCACCTGCACCAGGTGGAAACCCAGAACTCCTGGCCAAGACACAGCAAGGCCTCTGTGCTCCAGGGAAATCCCTCCTGAACAGGACATGAAGAGAGCCTCGGCCATAATCCAGAGGGTGGCCCCGTGGACTGGCTCCTCGGCACAGCAAGCAGTGGCCAAAGGAGTGGGGAAGCTGGGGTAAGCCAGCGAGCTGCACCCTGGGAAAATGGGGCAAGGATCCAAAGTGGCTCCTTTTGACAAGCCTCAAGCAGGGCTGCCCCAGTCTGGGTGAGCAGCCTAAACCCGGGGCCGAGGAGCCACGGGGGGACAAGCACACAAGGGATGCAGGCAGCGGCTCTGGAAGGAGTGGAGAACAAGCAGTGCCACCTTAGAAGCGGCTGTGGGATGAGAGCCCTCTGTGGGAACCTATGCTGTGGCAGAAACCTCAGGACGCACAATCCAGGACCCACCATTCCTGCCACCCCCACTCCTCCCCTCAACAGAAGTTCACCTTGATCTCCACACACAGAATGGGCCGTAGCTCTGCAAAGTGGTAGGTCTGCAGTCTGGTTAAGTTGGGAAGGCACATGGCGTAGCCACTGAGAGTGTCTAGGTCCTTGTCACAGCGAGATTCTGCAAGACAGGGCAGGACACACTGAGGGTCAGCAGACACTGGTGAGCCCTGCACACTGGGGCAGACATCGTGGGGGAGGGGGTCCACCTCCAGTCAGCTTCTGCAGGTCACTCTGAGCCCGTGAGGACCCTGACTTGGGGCCAGTGTTGTGGCACAGCAGGTTAAGCCACCGCCTGCAACACCCATGCAGGAGTGCTGTCAAGCCCAGCCGCTCTGCTTCCAATCCAGCGCCCTGCCAATGCACCTGGGAAGGCAGCAGCAGATGGCCCAAGTACTCAGGACTCTAACTCCTCCTTGTTGGAGACCAGGAGGAGTTCCAGGCTCCTGACCTCATCCTGGCCCAGACCCGGCTGTTGCAACCATTTGGTGAGTGAATCAGTAAAGAGGAGGTCCCTCTCTCTCTGTTACCCCCTCCTTCACTCCACCTTTCAAATAAAATAAATAAATCTTTAAAAAGAGAAAGGAGCACTTCATCTTTCCCTGCAGCCACTGGACCCACCACAGTGCCCTTCGGTTTACGAAGGGCCTTGTGCCATGCAGTACGAGCTGGGGCTCAGGGGTGACCATGGACAGGCCAGGCCCATGGGCCATCAGCTGTGTGTATGTGCATGAGGCGGCCCAGCGCACTGTCACACACTGATGTTGGGAGGACAGGAGCCACCCCCACGGCCTGGGACAGTAGTTACCTGGGAGCTCCAGCCAGGTCTCTTTAGACCCCTCTTGGCTGGTTTCACCTTTATCTTCTGGCTGTCGTAATCCATAACCACGAGTGCTCACAGTGAGTTCTGTGGGTCCTTCCAGTAAATTATCAACTACAAGGTGGTCTAGAGGACCCCAAAAGATGCAATTGTTGTCAAAAGTGAGGGTGGTCTTGGGGCCAACAATGTAGTGCAGCAGGTTAAGCTGCTACATGTCAATGCCGGCATCCCATACGGACACCAGTTCAAGTCCTGGGTGCTCCACTTCTGATCCAGCTCCCTGCTAATGCACCTGGGAAAGCAGTAAATAATAGCCCAAGTGCTTTGGTCCCTGCCACCCACATGAGAGACCCAGACGGAGTTCCTGGCTCGTGACTTTGGCCTGGCCCAGCCCTGGCCATTTAGGAAGTAAACCAGCAGATGGAAGATCTCTCTCTCTCTCTCCCTCTCTCTTTCTGTAATTGTGCCTTTCAAATAAGTATACACATCTTTTTAAAAAAAAAAAAAAAAAAGTGAAGGTGGTCTTGGGATGGTCCCTAATCCATAATCCACTTTGCCCATGAACTCAAAGAAAGGAGGCTGCAGCCAGTACCAACCACACAGACCAGGACCCTTCCCAATGCATGGGGCAACAGAACTCCCCCAGCACAGCTCTGCTGGAAGGGCAGTGTGGACACGGCCAAGTAAGACCGGCTTCCCTCCCCACCTCAGTAGGCCATATTCCAAGTCGTGACTATGCCTGCGGCACAGCTCTTGATACTCTAAGTGGCCAACCTTGCATTGGTGTTATAAAACGAAACGATAAGTGGGCTGCACGAGCAGCTGGAGGCAGAACCCTAGAGCTGTCCCCTGTGATCTACTTTCTCGGCGTCTCCAACAGCAAGGGCCTGCTTCTCCCAGCCCCACAGCGTTTTTGTTTTTATTTTTACCTCAGTTTCCCCTAGTCCCCTTCCCCAAGTCTCCCAACCCCTACCCAGCTCTCCCAACCCAATGCTGCTATATACAGCTTTGTTAATTAGCTCCTGGACACATACTCCACGAGTGCTCTCTGGTTTTCTGATGCACAGACGTGTGCCCAAGGACTTTCCTACAACTTCTACCCCTGCTGATGACGTTTCTGGCCTGCTGAAAACAGCATGTACCTATCATGGGTGAATTTCTCAAACATTTTTCAAGTGAAATATTTTCAATTACAAACAGTCAGAAGATGCTTACCTGGTCTTTCAGACTGTATCCTAACACAAAGCTGTTTCACAAACTCTAAAGGCAGCTGAACAACTTCCTGTAAGGAAAACAAGCCACAGTGTGGGTTACGCAAGAACATGAACAGAGCGAACGTCATAGACGTAAAACTGGCTACAATGCGGAACTCTCCGTTACGTGTGCCTTACCACAGTGAAAACTCTGGAGAATAAAAGCCGGCTGCTTATTTTCAGAACACTTCAGGTTATAAAGAAACACCGACATTTCCTGCCATCAAGGGTGGCCAGCTCTGCTCAGAGCGGCCAGCATACATGGTGGCGACCAGCCTCGCAGCCAGCGTCTCCCTAACACGAGTCTCTAACACAGCACCACTCCTGCGGCACTTCTGGTCCTGAGTGTGCGCACACAGAGCCGGGCCTGAGGCAGGTCTGCGGCCACGTGAAGAAGCTCACTGCCCTCAGACAAGCCAAGGGTCTCACACGCCCACCTGGGAAGCAGCCCAGTCTGCCGGAATCATTCACCGCAGGCTGAGATGGCCCGTGGCCGGCTTCTCTCCACTCGGGGGCTTCCCTGCAATCTCCCAAAGGGGAGCTCCCTTAACCCACGCTGCCCACCATCTTCCCCGCTCTCTCGTGTTCCCAGGGTGCACACAGGGGACCTGGCTCAACAAGAGCGCCAGGCTCCTGCTCGGGAAGAGACCACACCAGGCATGGCTGCCCTTGCACACCGACATCTCTGCTGCCCCACCAGGTACATTCATCGGCTCCCCAGGCACTTTCACTCGTGCCTGTCGTTTACCTAGATCTGCTATGAACTGAGGGAAGGCGACTTGATTGAAATAAAAAACAGAAACACCTCATACTGAATTAGGGAAACAACAGAAGAGAGGGAAATATAGAAGATCTGAAAACTCGAAACTTAGGTCCTATCATTAGCGTTCAAGTTCTTTTTTTTTAATATTTATTTATTTTTAAAGTCAGAATTACAGAAAGGGAAAGATAGATTTTCCACCTGCCGGTTCACTCCCCAGGTGGCCACAACAGCCAGGGTCAGGCAAGGCTGAAGCCAGGAGCCAGAGTTCATCTGGATCTCCCACGTGGATGCAGGGGCCCACGCGGACCATCTTCTACTGCTTTCCCAGACCATTAGCAGGGAGCTAGACTGGAAGCGGAGCAGCCGGGACACAAACTGGCACCCGCATGGGACACTGGCATCACAGCTGACAGCTTTACCTGCTACACCACAACACCAATCCCAGGAGTCCAAGTTCTTGATCCACTTCAAAGAAACCAAGTAGCAAGGGCAGACATCTGTGAGAATGATGACCAGAACTATGTGGAGACTGCTCTAGAAACACCTTGCTCACACCATGGTGCCACTGAGACAGAGCAGCATGCAGCTGTCAAGCCGCACACACCATGACCCTTCCTGCCACTGACAGCCTGAGTCCTCTGTTATCGGGTAAAAACCTGGTTTTCTTCCACGGAACTTTAAATTACTGACTTTACAGAAAGGACATTGGTTTTAAGTCAAGATACAATGCGGGGGCCGGCGCTGCGGCTCAGTGGGTAAAGCTGCCACCTGCAGTGCCGGCATCCCATATGGGCGTCAGTTCGAGTCCCGGCTGCTCCACTTCCCATCCAGCTCTCTGCCATGCCCTGGGAAAGCAGTGGAAGATGGCCCAAGTCCTTGGGCCCCTGCACCCGCTCCGGCCCAGCTCCAGCCATTGCAGCCACTTGGGACGTGAACCAGTGGATGGAAGACCCCACCACCACCATCTCTCCTTCTTTCTCTGTGTAACTCTGACCTTCAGATAAATAAATAAATCTTAAAAAAAAAAAAAAGATACAATGCTTACAGTAAGCGTCCTCTCTAAGGTCTGATGGTACTGCTGTGGCCCACACCAACCACACGAGGACAGACATCGAGCCCGTGTGCCACCTCCTGGAGCCGTGACCCAGGTGCTGAGATGAGCGAGGACTTCCAGGTGCGGCATCAGCCTTGAATACAGCTCCTGCCTCCTCAAGCACCCAGGGTGGCAACACATCGGCATTCGTGAGGGTCAAACAGGGGAGTCAGAGAAGCCCCAGGAGACCCCCCAGCCTCAGAGGGAGCTCCAAAATGTCCAGCCCCCCCCCAATACTTAAGCAGCAACAGCAGGAGGAGCCAGACCCCATTCCTATGCGCCAGCTCCTGGGGACGCACAGAGCAGTCCCACACCCCTCAGCAGGGCAGGGCCTGGTGTCTGTCACTGCCCCATGACCGCATCACAGAGGCTGGCTGGATCTCGTCCCAGGACAAATGCAGTGAAATGCCTTCAAGAGGGCTCTGCTGTGCCACCTCGCTGTCCCAGCCCTGTGGCTGCGCCTCAAGGACGACATCTGCCTACAAATGTACTTGTGCCCACACTTCCCTGTGCCACAGCCTGACACCTGTCCCATCAGGCACCTGACGAAAGCCAACTGTCTCACTAGGTGAGTGTGTCACTGCAGAGTGGACAACCTTGTGGGCCAAGCTCCGTCACTGAAGGTCCTGACCCTTCCTGCCTAGGACAACAGAGCATTTGTTGTCACTGCCAATCCTGTCCCCTCCCTCAGACCTCAGAGCAGTTCACACCGCCTACCCCGCCAGCAGCCACTGGAACCCTGCTCCCACCACCCTGGCCAGCCGACACCATCAAGCACCACCATCGCTGGAGAGAGGTCTGAAACCCGGAAGATCAGAGATGCGGTCACGTAAGCAGCCGGCACAGTGCCAAAGAACGTCCTCTCTCTCGGGAGGAAACTGCCGTGGGCACAGACACCACCCACAAGACTCGCAATGAGAGGGACCTGCATGAAGCTTCCTAACAGGGGACCCATCAAACAGCCCCATCACACGATGTGGCGGACAGGCTGAAGGGGACAAGCCACATCTGCGGCGGCAAAGGAAGAGTGGGACAGTGGACCTGTCAGGCCTCAGGCTGCACTGCAGATCTGGTCAGAAGATGAACCAGGGCCTCTGGCCTGTCCCCAGACCACATGAGGCAGAAAGCAGGGCCCGGCCCAGGCAGCAACACTCAGGGGCTCTCGGCTTCCCTTCCAAATCCCAACTTGTTAGATGGGCCAAGGTGGGGCTCCTGCCAGGTACAGTGAACAGCGACTGGGCCCACATCTCACACTGCACAGTCCTCCACCATGCCAGGACAGATCCTGGTCCCTTGGCTCCCTAGCCCGCCGGAAGGTGCCCGAGGGTCCAAGGACACTGCTGACCTTTCAGGCTCACTCCGTGGAGAGCCCCACCGAGCAGTAGCCTCCTGGGGGTCCCGGCAAACAGGATCTTTCTGAACTTCCTGTTCCTCAGGTAGAAAATGCTCTGCCCACACAGCACAGCAAGTAGGAGAGTACTTGGAGACCACAGAAGGATTGTCTCTAAGCATCAAGTTCCAACTGATGAGAGACACTGAGCACACTGCCAACACACAGCAGCACCACAAACAGAAAAGTCACTTACCCCACAGTGAACATAGTTCTCTCCCAAAAACTCCTTCATGACATTTTTGCCAAAGTCCACTATGTTCTGCAGGTGCCGAAATATCTCTTCCGAGGTCTGTAAAAGACAAGCACAGGACGGCCTAAGGCGTGGATCTCCAGGCTGACACCCCTAAAAGAGGGACACAGAACGCCACCAGCCCTGTCACAAGCAAGGGCAGCAGCCAAGCCACAAACAAAACCCAGGCAGTGGCCCTGGGGCTTGGGGAGGGGCCCCAGGGCCCCACACAGCTTCCCTCCTCTGTGGCCTTCCAGCTGAGGTCCACCTCCCGCCCCACCCACTCCCTGCTGTGCCACGCCTCCCGAGAAGGAGCATCACGGCCCCATTTGTCTCCCGTGGAACCCCATTTGGGAAACCTTCCGCGTCTCAAAGCTGTTAGGTCTTAGATTTTAATCTTTAGCCTCTAAGTATAGAATAAAACATTTGCTCCCTAGTCTGAAGTTCTTAAAGTCATTAAGCTAATGAGACCAAGCAAGACAGAAAATCATCCTGTATCTCTCGATCCAGCCAAAGGATGAGGCCCAAAGCGCCAAGGGTGGGCTCTCCCAGGACAGCGATGTCCATAAAGGGTGGCCTGCAGCTCTGGCTGTGCACAAGAGTCCCCCTTAGGAAAGTCCAGGACTGAGTGGCAGCTTGTACTCTCATGGCCCTTGGAACCCACCACCTGCTCCCAGCCCTAACCTGTACCCTCACAGCTCCTGGAGAACTCGACTTGCTCTGAGCCCTGCCTTGCACAGCTACAGCTCATACAGACGTCCTGTCCCCATGCCAGGCGGATCCCATCAGAACTCAGCCCCACAGAAAGACCTCAAAAATACTCCGTGGCCCCATGGAGCTGAGAAAAGCTGGTGACAAACAGCCTGTCCAGACAACAGGAGAACCACCACACATCCCCTGAATGACACAACTGGGTCAGGTTGCACCACTCAAAGAACGAATCAGGCAAATGCCATCAGGAAGACCCCATCTACACAGGAAAACCTGTTTGGGGTCCCACCAAAGGTGCTACAGCCACTGAACAAGAAGAACGTGGAGAGGGGGTTCGAGGAGGCTGGAAGCCACCCCAGGATACTTTGTGGCTTGTAAGGCCACCACAAAATATACTAAACACTCGAGTAAGGGAAAAGGTTTATTGGTGGGAGAAACCCAACAGACCAGAGGGAAAGGGAAAAGAAAGAAAAAGAGGACACGTGTCCGGGAAATGGGTCCTATTATACCTTTGCTGGGGGGCGGGTAGGGAAACAGGAGTAGAGACTCCCATTAGGGTGGGGTGGGGCTGACACCAGTGGGTAAGACCATGGAGCTTAGGACCACAGCATACTGTGCAATGTGGCTGCAAGGGCCAGAGGCAACATGGCATCCAGGGCACAGATCTTATCAGTGGCGCCATTTTACTAACAACGGCCACACAGGATAGCAGATGGCCATTTCCCTCAGCAGCTGAAGCAGGAGCTATGGGCTGCTGGGGCCTCCTCACTCCCAGCATGGCACTGCAGCCCCCACCAACAGCAACACCCAGCATGCTCCTCTCCTACTACGAAATCAAACCCGTGCTTTGTCCTGCAAACATCCACCTCCACCCAACGGCCCCCACCTCCCTTCTCTGATCTCTACCCTAAGATACTTGACTTGCCATCTCCCAGGAGCCCACCGATAGGATGGATCATCAGCTTCATGCCCTCCTTTGTCACAGCCACTCAAAGGAGCTCCACAGGCCCCACTGTGGGGTGCCCCTCACAGCCTGGGCTGCTCACACCTCCGCCGGCCAGGAGCACAGAATGATGGGGCGAGATTCAGCCTCCCCTATGGGCCTGCCTGATGAGACGGGAGCAGAAAAGAGCCACCAACACAGGAAGGCCCCACAGATCACCTGAGGTACACACGTAAGGGGAGACGCCCAGTCACTGTCAGCTTCTGCAGGTGCCACGGCGTCCTGCGTGGGGAACTCGGCAAACAGAAACCTCGTGATCACCGGCCTCCCTGGCTGCAACTTTTCAGACAGACATCTACCAAGCTTTGTGTCGCTCCCCCTCTTCATGGAGGAACGACACTAAGCCCTGCCTAGGCTTCATATCCGAGTCACGGCACCATTATGTCGCTCCCCCTCTTCGTGGAGGAACGACACAAGACCCTGCGCTGTTCTTTCGTCTGCTCGGCCCTCCCCGGGTTTGCTGCTGGTTCTTCCCGGGTTGGCTACTATCCCTTCCACCTCCGTGGAAGGGCAGTTCCCCCTGCCACTTTCCCCACTTCCGCAGGGGAGCGGCACTCCGCCGGCCGGCTCTCTCGGGGGCTGCACAGGCGTTCCTTCAGCTAGATGTTCCCCTTAGATGTTCCTGGTGCATGCCGTCTCTCTCCTCCTTTATAGTCCTCCTCTGCCAATCCCAACTCGGCTGCCCACACGCCGAGTACGCTGCTCTCCTCCAATCAGGAGCAAGTCCTACAGTTTATTGGTTGAACTGGAGGCAGCTGTGTAGAAGCTGTTTTCTTCTCTCCCAGCGCCATATTGTGGGAGAGCAGGTGCATAGAATAAGTCTTAATTCCAGTAACTTAGTCTAGTCTGAGCTGCTCCCCACACTTTGACCCTCCATTTTCGTGGATATGGTTCCACAGAGGGGAAATGGAGACGGCAGGTGCAAAGGACCTAGGCTTAGACCCGGTCCTGGGGCCTTCAACACAGTGGGGACAGCAGCAGGACCCATAGGCTGGGCAAGGCAGCTCCTGCTCAAGTGACGCAGTCCCATCACGGTTACACAGTGACACCACAGGTCACAGGGCTAAGGCCGCACAGGTTTTATGTCAGGAATGATGGACACACCAATTCCTTCTGTGAACGCTATGTCAACCTTAAATTTCTACAACATTAGCACTTCTGCATCAGGGGGAAAAGTTTTAAGTGTTGTAATGACCGTGTGGCAAACCCAACAATCTTACCTTCTTCCTGTTCGGAGGAAACTTCAGGAAACGCAGCACAACACAGCGCTATTGAAAAATCAAACAAAAGTTCAATCAGTCCTCGCCCAAAGCCTGGACACAGAGGGTCAGCATGCGGGTCATGTCCTCGGTGCACAAAGCTCACGGTGAAGCTGAGGGTGAGGTGGCTGGGAAGCCTCTTGGGGGGAGGCCATGTGGGGCCTCTTGAAGGCACAGGGGCGCAGAGCAGCCAGGAAATCCTTCGACCTTTGACCCAGCCAGTCACTCTCAGATATTTATCTTAAGGAAATAATTAAAAGAACACAAAAGACTTCAGTTACTGTGTATAAAAGCATCATTTATAATTGTAAATAAAATGAAAACTACCTAAACCATCAACAGTGGAAGAGTAACACACAGAAAGGGGGTATACCTGGCACAGCAGCTAACCTCGGGTTGGGATGCCCACATCCCATACTGGAGTGCAGGGGTTGCGTCCTGGCTCCACACTCAACTCCAGCTTCCTGCTAATGCACACCTCGGGAAGCACCAAGTGACAGCTGAAGCGGGCCCCTGGCACCCACAGAGGAGACGTGGATTTGAGTTCCTAGCTCCCAGAGTCTTGTTTTGGGCATCTGGGAAACATCAGTGGATGAGAGATCTCTGCCTATCCATCTATCCCTCTCTCTCACTTTATGAGATAAATAAATGTTAGAAGCAACTATTTGATGCAGCAGACAGGATTCCACTTGGGACACCCAAATCCCCTATCAGAGTATCTGAGTTCAAGTACTGGCTCCACCTTCTCAGCTTTAGATTCCAACTTCCTGCTAACACACACCTTAGGAGAAGCAGGTAGTAGCCCAAGTACTTGGGTCCCTGCTACCCATGCCACCCACATGGGAGACCTGGATTGAAAGTTCCAGGCTCCTGGTTTTGGCCTGGTCCCGTCCTGGCAATTACAAGTATTTGGAGTGTCAACCAGGGATGGAGGATCTCTGTCTTAAATAAATTAATTAAAATAAATGAGCTTTTTAAGACGAAATACAGAAGATGTATTTCAAACCTTGAAGTACCTTACAAGGAAATAAGAGAGCGCAGAATCTACAGCTGTCCAGTAGGTCATCACACACAGCTACATGGGAAGTCACAGAAAAGGGAATAAACAAACAGTTCATTTTCATAAAAGCAAAAGGAAGATATATGTATACACTGACATATGTATGGGTATTTCTATTTAAATAAAATTCAACAAACAGGTAAGACTGATTGGTGCCCACCCTTGAGCACAGGGAACAGGCCCTGAGGAGGGTTCTGGAAGGGACTGGTCATGGATTATGGGTCCATTTACTTTGTGATAACTAGGCTACTCTTAGGATCTGAGTAGTTTTCTATGGGCATGTTATACTCCAATTTCAATTTTTAGGGGCTGGCCCTGTAGCATAACAGGCTAGGTCCCTGCCTGTGGCCCCGGCATTCCACATAGGTGCCAATTCGTGTCTTGGCTGCTCTTCTTCTGATCCAACTCTCCAAGGCCTGAGAAAGCAGAAGACAGCCCAAGCTGTGCTTGCTTAGGCCCCTACAACCATGTGAGAGACCCAGAAGAAGCGCCTGGCTTCAGAGGTGCTCAGCTCCAGCCGTTGTGGCCATCTGGGGAGTGACCAGCAGATGGAAGACCTTTCTCCCTGCCCCTCCCTCTCTGTAACTTTCTCTCTCAAATAAAATCTTTAAAAATTCATTTTAAAGTAAAATTTTTTTAATAAAGTATGCGTGTGTTCTGTTTGCATAAGGAAAGCCTGAAAGCCATCCCTTTTTTATTTTAAAGATTTATTTTATTTACTTGAAAGAGAGTTACAGAATGAGGTAGAGACAGAGAGAGAGGTCTTCCATCTGATGGTTCACTCCCCAGATGGCCGCAACAGCTGGAGCTGTGCTGATCCGAAGCCAGGAGCCAGGAACTTCCTCCAGTTCTCCCAAGTGGGTATAGGGGCCCAAGCACCTGGGCCATCTCCTACTGCTATCCCAGGCCATAGCAGAGACCTGGATTGGAAGAGGAGCAACCAGGACTGGAACCGGTGCCAAATGGGATGCCAGCGCTTCAGGCCAGGAAATTAACCCACTGTACCACAGCGCCAGTGATAGGCCATTTTTATTTCCAGGTGGCAACCATTACAATAATTTTTAAAAATTTCTGCTTATTTGAATATTTCAACTTTTAAATGTCCACATTAACATACATATGTCCACATTTTTTTTAATTATTATTATTTTTTTTGACAGGCAGAGTGGACAGTGAGAGAGAGAGACAGAGAGAAAGGTCTTCCTTTTGCCGTTGGTTCACCCTCCAATGGCCGCCACGGCCGGCGCACCGCACTGATCCGATGGCAGGAGCCAGGTACTTATCCTGGTCTCCCATGGGGTGCAGGGCCCAAGCACTTGGGCCATCCTCCACTGCACTCCCTGGCCACAGCAGAGAGCTGGCCTGGAAGAGGGGCAACCGGAACAGGATCTGGTGCCCCGACCGGGACTAGAACCTGGTGTGCCGGCGCCGCTAGGCGGAGGATTAGCCTAGTGAGCCGCGGCACAGGCCCTTATGTCCACATATTAACATACACTCTGCATGGGAAGCAGAGTATGCCTAGGAGGGCTCCATCCGTACAACAGGGAAGAAGGCAGACACAGGCAGAAGCCTTGGTAGCCCCTGCACTTGCAGCCACAGAGCAAGACCCAGTAGGGGTACAGGCAGCAGTACATCAGAGAAGGCTTGAAAGTGCGGCCTGTGGGGCCGGCGCTGTGGCATGTGTGCTAAACCTCTGCCTGCAGCGCTGGCATCCCATACGGGTGCAGGTTCATGTCCTGGCTGCTCCTGCTAATGGCCTGGGAAAGCAGTAGAAGATGGCCCAAGTACCACTGGGCCTCTGTACCGCACAGGAGACCCAGAAGAAGCTCCTGGCTCTGGCTTCGAATCCGTCCAGCTCCGGCCATTGCAGGCATTTGGGGAATGAATCGGAGGATGGAAGACCTTTCTCTCCAACTCTCCCTCTCTAACTCTGCCTCTCAAATAAAAAAACAAAACAAAATAAAATAACGAAGTGCAGCTTGCTGTACCAGAAGACGGAATGAGCAGACTGAGCAACAGAAGCCTGCGGAGGCTGACCCAGTCTCCCTGCCAGCTCCACCCAGCGCCCGCCCACCCGCCCATTCAGAGGACACATCCTGCTCCTGCTGCTTCTCTTAAAACCCATCGTCATCGGTCAGACCTGCAGGATCCCCAGCCCCCGCACTGAGTTCCACATCCGGGTCAGTGCTATATACAAGGTCACTGGTAAGCCACTGCCACCTGTCCCTTCCTCAAATCCCAGGCCTAGTCCCAAGGAACCAAGGTCAATGACAAGCATGCTGCCACTGTCCCTCCCAAGTCCCAAGCTGGCATAAACAAGCAATCTCAGGAATCCACTAAGTTTCATTTTAATGGAATTCAAATCCAGCAAGATTCAGTGAAAAACAGAAGTTGATATGCAGAAATCCTACAACTGAACAACCTTCTGGAAACTCGCCATCCTAACAGTGCACTCCCTCCTGGCATGGACACGACAGCACTGTCCCACTCCAAAGTGTGCCCAAACGTCTCCACCACAATTAGACACGAAATAGCACAGCTCTCCACTGACAGCAGACTTGGCAACACACTTCCAAGAACACTAAGTGTGAGTGTGGAAAGGCAAAAGTTGCCCAGGATCAGCTGGTCAGACTTAGAGAGCCACACAGTAAGCAAACACAGTGCAGCAAGGTGGGCACAGAGCCACCCTCCCTGCCATGGCCCACCCCAAGCTCTCGGTGCACACAGAGGCAAGCTTACCAGCCACTGGGGCCCCAGCTCACTCGTACATGGACACAGCACTTGCAGAGTTCCATGCGGAACCGATGAATAAGCTGCAGCACAGATTTCTGTAGCCAAACAGTCGTGAGAAGGGTGAAGCTGGGCAAGACGTGCCAGTTTCCATAGCAGGAACGCCCCACAGCAGCCTCAGCGGGAGGCCAGAGGGCCCCGGAGCGCAGGTCACACCGCTCACCTGGCAGCCACTGCCCGAGAACACACTCGGACTTCCCATGTTAGAGAACCACCACCGCGTTCCCAGTGCAGGCAGGAAGAGCTGGCCTTTTCTGCATTTACAGTGGAAAACACAGATTTCCTCTGCATTGTTATAACCCCACACACAAACACACCCACAAAACCATTAATACCAAGTAGAAGTTCATTCCAAGATCCATTATCGCTGGACTATCAAGAAGAAAATTCAGGGGGTGGGGGTTGGGGGGACAGCGTTGTGGTGCACTGATAAACAACTGCGTGTGATGCTGGTATGCCCCCCGGGGTGCCGGCTGAGTCCCAGCGGCTCTACTTCCAATCCTGCTCCCTGCTAACGTGCCTGGGAAGGCAGCAGACGATGGCCAGGGTACTTGGGCGTCTGACCATGTGGAAGGGCCGGACAGAGTTCTGGGTTCCTGGCTTCAGGCTGGCTCAGCCCCAGCCGTTGCAGCCATTTGGAGAGTGAACCAGCTGATGGAAGATCTCTCTCTCTCTAACTCTGCCTTTCAAACAAATAAGTAAATATTGAAGAAAAAAATTTAAAAACAAATTATACAGGATGCTATGCAAAGAAAAACCACCCAGAGATGCCAGGAGAAAAGGGCATCAGGGCAGCAGTGCCTTCCAGGGTTCACCCTCACTTCTTGCCAATAAGAAGTGACATTAGTCTTCACACTAGTGTGCATTAATACCAATAACAATCACTATCACTGCAGTAAGAAGCCCAGGCGCCACCCACAAACGACATCAGCGCCACCATCGCTCTCTCCCTCAAGGATCTCAGTTTACAGAGAATGAGGCTCCTCCTCAAGGACAGATCAAGTCTAGGGGAACCATGTCCTGCAGCCGGCCCAGCTGCAATCTGAAGACAAGTCAGGTCAAGGCTGTGCAGACCCCTGGACCCTCAGGGGTCTCCAGGTCTCTCCAGTTGTCAGCCTCCTTGTCACAGTCATGGGGGGGAGGGGGGCGGGAGGACAAG